GATTACAGGCGTGAGCCACCAGCGCCCAGCTGAATGAGAGTCTTTGATACTGCCAAAGGTCTTCCAGCTCTAAGTTCTGTCAGAGGTTTACTCCCTTGCATCCCCTGTGGGTCCTTTTGGGCCGGGTGAATGCTGGGGAAGCATTTGGACCATTTTGCTATTGACAGGCAGCTGTCATTAGGTGACATGTGTGCCGTGTCACAACAGAGAATGCTTTAGTGAGAGGCCGCTTCCTGGTAAATAGCAAGCATATTTGTTTGCCATCCTGAGCCTCGCTGGTGTTAGAGCAGGTGTCAGACTGTATGTACTGTTGTCCTTGTCCGAGGGCCCAATGTCAGCCTTCCTTTTTCTGGAAGTAAAAGCAGTAGCCACTGCCTTGGCTTCTGAGGATTAAGCGAGAGAATGCATGTAAAGCCCTCAGTTTCACATCTTGAGTGCATCTGTGGCCTCAGCGTTTGTTACTAATGAGATTTGTAGTTTTCTTGCTTTTTTTTTTTTTTTTTTTTGCCAGTCTTGGGGCTTGAGCTCTAGGCCTGGGCACTGTTCCTCAGCTCCGTTTGCTTTAGCACTCTACCACTTGAGCTACAGTGCCACTTGCGGCTTTTTTTGGGTGATTTAATTGGGCTGGCTTTGAACTATGATCCTAAGATCTCAGCCTCCTGAGTAGCTAGGATGATGGGCGTGCGCCACTGGCGCCCAGCTGCCGTTTTCTTTTTCTTTTTTCTTATTTTGGTCCGGTCGTGGGGCCTGAACTCTGGGCCTGGGCGCTGTCCCTCAGCTCTTCAGCTCAAGGCTAGCGCTCTACCACTTGAGCCACAGCACCACTTCCGGCTTTTTCTTTTTTTGCTTATGTGGTGCTGAGGAATCGAACCCAGAGCCTGAGGCTTGCAAGGCAAGCGCTCTACCACTGAGCCACCTTCCCAGCCCCCCAGCTGCTTTTTTCTTGCTTAGGGCCCATGTGTGCACACAATTCTGCTGGGGCATTAATTTCCAGAAACTGGTGAGCACATTTGATTGTTACAAACTAGGCACCTTTTCTGTTGTAATTTATTTTAGCAGAATCAAAAGGGATCGGACAAGTAGCATGTCAGGTGAAGAAAGCAACTTAATCTTGACAGCTGGTGCTGGCTGAAATGACTTTTTCCTAGACCCGTGTTTAAGTTAACACAGTGTGGGGCTGCGCTGGGAAGCCTGTGGGACAGGGCCGTGGCTGCTGCGGCTGCTGAGGGTCAGGGAGGGGGTTAGTAGTTGATATTAGTTCTGGAGAGGGGCTTGCAGGCATTAACTAGTCCTGGCGGAGGCCTTAGGAGTGTTAACAATGACAACTAGTTCTAGAAGGTACCGTATTGCCGGCAACTAGTGAGGGAAAGGGCCTAACAGCTGAGAACTAGTCAAGGAGGGGTCTCAGTGGTAACTAGCTGTCCTGGGTACCTCTTCCATTGGTAAGGAGTCAGGGGGAAGGGGTTTGCTCTCGGATTATAAAAACAAGCTCAAGTCCCATAATGTATCATTTCGAGTTGGTCTGTTCGGTGAACACTTACTTGGTGCTGAGTGCTAAGGAAGCAGAGTGAGGAAATCTTAGTTACTGGCATAGCAACATTTTTTTTTGGTTAGTCAGGGGGCTTGAACTGAGGGCCTGGGCGCTGTCCATGAGCTCTTTTGCTCAAGGATACCACTGGAGCCATAGCTCCATATCCAGTTTTCTGGTGGTTCACTGGAGAGAAGAGTCTCATGGACTTTCCTGCCCGGACTGGCTTTGAACTGCGATCCTCATATCTCGGCCTCCTGAGTAGCTAGGATTTCAGGCGTGTGGTTTCAGAGCTACGCAGAGCATCTCGGCATGCCATTCACGTTGGGCATTGGATAAAAAGGGCAGGACTGCTTTCAAGGACCGGCGGGGCCTTGAGGTTTAGTTTTGTGTTGGGAAGTGCCGGTGGATCACGGTCGCTGCAATGACTCTGCCAGCTGCTGACGCCATGGAGACCCATCAGGGCACGTCTGTGGTGTGGAGGAGAGGAGTGTGAGATGGGAGCTGATGCCGGAGGCTGGAGGCTGGCTTGCCGGAGTCCCCGGAGCAGGCTGTGGAAATCCCCCAGTTGGATCTTGGTTTAAAAGCAAGGGGAGACTTGGGGTGCTATCCAGGTTATTGTGAATGTTGGCTCTGCTCTGTCACTGCGGGAAAGCAGGAAATGAGGTCACGTGGTGTTTAAAAAGAACCGTAGATGGCTAAATATGGGCTGTGGCGGCTGCGGCTGGGCTGCTGCTCTTCTGCGAGCCCCTGAGCGGAGCTTGAATGTCTCCAGCACTTCCCTGTCGGCCTTCTGAAGGCTAAGGGGCGTGGCTCCCCAGGAGCACGCCTGCCCAGTTCTGTTGTGAGCTGTCTCAGGAGTCTGCCCAGTCTTCCTGCCCTGCCAGCAGTGCACGCTCTGACCTGTAAGTGCGATGAGTGTAAATGTGTGTGTGTGTGCGCGTGCCCACGCTCACCTGCAGCCCCTTGAACTCATGGCCTGGTGCTGTCCTTTAGCTTTTTCACTCTACCACTTGAGCAACACCTCCTTCCAGCTTTTTGGTGGCTTATTGGAGATAACGGTCTTATGGACATTCCTACCTGGCCTGGCTTTGAACCATGGTCCCACCTCCCCTTCTCCTGAATAGCTAGGATTGCAGGCGTGAGCCGCCAGTGCCCGGCTTCTTGTGGGAACTTTGGAATCATTTGATTTTGGAGCTAGTACATGCAGTCCAGGAAAGTTTAATTTGTGTAAATAAGTGTGGCATTTAGCTTTTAGATGATCTATGCAGATACATGGAGAGCCAAAGCAGTTGACGAGAACAGAAAGAGCCGGGACTTGAAAGTCCTGAGCTCAGGTGGCAGCACAGGGCGCGTGGCCGAAGTCTGGGCTGTTGGATCTGTTGTGTGGACGAGGCAGGGGTTGGCCTCTTCTGAAGCCCTGGGTTTATGGCAGTGTGTGTGTGGTGGTGGGGGGGTTGTATCTTTGGAGAGGACAGCAGGGCTTGTCTTGCTCTTGCTCTGTCCTTCAGGGCATTACTGAGGGAAGGCAGCCAGGCAGCCTCGGCCCAGGATGCCCGGCAGGCTGGCAGGTCCAGGCTGTAGTTGGCAAGGCCGGCCGGTGGTTGGTGAAGTCGGGCCTGGAAGGCTCACGGCTGGGGACCCACAGTGGCTCCTGAGATGCAGCCGAGAGGCATGGCGGCATATGGTGGAACATTCCCAGCATTTGTTCTGGCTCAGAAAGTTTCTAGATAAAAAATCCAGAGTGGGCTAGACCTTGTCTGCTGGCCGTGGCTGTGGAGGGGCGGGAGATGACGTTGGGGTGACGGCGGCTCGCTCTGCCAGCCTTCCTCCTCGGGCGGGCTTCCTCCACCAGCCTCGGTTTCTCAGCACGGGGGTGGCCGCTGCCCTGCCCACAGACCCCTCAGAGCCTCTGGCGGCTGGCAGCCCTCCCATGAGAGGGTGGCCGCTGCTTTCAGGCTAGGGGGTCCCATTCAGCTCTCTAACCTAGTGAGTACGGCCTGTGGCCATAGCCCAGACAGCGGAGTGTGCCGGTCAGCCAGGGCGGTTAGACAGCGGAGTGTGCCGGTCAGCCAGGGCGGTTAGGATGGCGCAGGCCCGAGCCAGCGTCCTGCTGCCACCCGCAGGGACGCATGGGGGGGCCTGCGTGCTGACAGGTCTGCCATGCTCCAAGTAGTTTTGTTTTTCTTAAGAAAGAGCCTCTAGCCGGGCACTGGTGGCTCACGCCTGTAATCCTAGCTACTCAGGAGGCTGAGATCTGAGGATCGCGGTTCAAAGCCAGCCCGGGCAGGAGAGACCGTGAGACTCCTATCTCCAATAAACCACCAGAAAACCAGAAGTGGCGCTGTAGCTCAAGTGGTAGAGCGCTCGCCTTGAGCTGAAGAGCTGAGGGACAGCGCCCAGGCCCAGAGTTCAAGCCCCATGACTGACCAAAAAAAAAAAAAAAAAGAAAGAGCCTCTAGCCCAGGCTGGCCTCGCACTCAGGACCCCCTTCCCAGCCTCCTGAGTGCTGCGATTACAGGTGTGCTTCTGCTGTTCAAAGTGCTTTAACGTCTTAAAATACTGTGTGTACTGTTGCCGCTTGTCCTGCGCCAGGGACATGGGTAAAAGATCTGTGCTAGAGTTCAGCCGTGAGTGCAGCCTTGCACGTCGAGTTACGAATCGTTTTAGTAACAGAAGGGGCTGACTGCTGCATAGTAGCACGTGGGACCCTGTGCACTAGGCCCTAGTTACTTACTTACTATGTCGGTCCTGGGCCTGGGCGCTGGCCCTCAGCTCTTCAGCTCAAGGCCAGCGCTCTACCACTGAGCCACCTTCCCAGCCCTACATTAGGTTTTAAATGATATAAAATTTTGGGGCTGGGAAGGAGGCTTAGTGGTAGAGTGCTTGCCTTGCATGCCTGAGGCCCTGGGTTCGATTCCCCAGCACCACATAAGCAAAAAGAAAAAAGCTGGAAGTGGCGCAGTCGCTCAAGTGGTAGAGCGCTGGCCTTGAGCTGAAGAGCTGAGGGACAGAGCCCAGGCCCAGAGTTCAGGCCCCACGACTGGACCCCCCCCCCCAAAAAAAAAGAATTTAAGTAAAAATTCTAGAGGGACTGTGAAGAAAACACTGCTCAGCAGAGGTAGGCTATAGGCTATGTAAACTTGGCTTTTTGGAAGCTTCTCATTTGCAGTAAGTGGTAGGTGTAGAGTTCGAGGTGGACTGGTGGGTTTGGCACGGACTGTGGAGATGCTTGGCCTGGCCGAACACTTGCTCTCTGAGACATGAGATTGGATTCCAGCTGGCAGCTGGGTCTGGCCCTTGCACGGGTGCTGTGGGTGCTGAGAGGTAGCAGGCCTCCTCAGCCCCTGCTTGTGCCTCAGGGAGCCCCCTTCCTTGGAGCTCTGGCTGGGTGCTGGCTTTCCCTTGCGTGGCTCTTGCTCTCCCTCCCTCCCTCCCTCCCTCCCTCCTGTGCTGTTGGTGTCTGTGTTTGTGGGCACTTCTCTGAGTGGTGTGTTGAGAGCCATTCCCAGAATGTGCCAGGTGCTGTAGCCAAGGCCGAGGACCATGGTTTGAAGCCAGCCTGGGCAAAAAGTTCTTGGGATCTCATCTCAATAAGTAAGCCGGGTGACGGTGGGCGTCTGTGGTTCCAGGTATGTGTGAAGCCCTAGGTGGAGGGTCTTGATGTGAGGCCAGCTTCAGACCCAGTCTGAAAAATAACCAAAGTGAAAAAGGGCTAAAGGCATGGCCACCTGCGTGAAGCCTGAGGCCCCGAGTTCAAACCCAGTACCTCAAAAAAGGAAAGGAAGGAAAAGGACTTTGTGGAATGCTGTGGACACTGGAGCACCCGGCCGCAGCCGCACGAGTGAGCAGCGAGGGTGCGCTCACGTGCGCTCAGGTGACGCGCGCGCCGCCGCTGGTGTCCTTCAGGTGTTGTAAAGTTCCTGGGCGCACAGGGCCTTTGTGGCTCTTCCTTCGGGGCCCCGATAACAAGCGTACCCGAGCAATGGAGCTGCTTCTGACCATGCTTCTCTTCTTCAGATTCACAGATGGATTCGCTGGAGAAGACGACACACAGAAGCGAGCAGAAGTCAAGGTAGCAGCGCGTGGGCTCAGGAGGGTGCTGGCAGCGCAGTCGCGCCTGGGCTCAGGAGGGTGCTGGCAGCGCGTGGCTCAGTCCTGCATGGGCTCAGGAGGGTGCTGGCAGCGCGTGGCTCAGTCCTGCGTGGGCTCAGGAGGGTGCTGGCAGCGCGTGGCTCAGTCGTGCGTGGGCTCAGGAGGGTGCTGGCAGCGTGTGGCTCAGTCCTGCGTGGGCTCAGGAGGGTGCTGGCAGCACGTGGCTCAGTCCTGCGTGGGCTCAGGAGGGTGCTGGCTGCCAGGGTGCCTCGGGGGAGGCCGCAGGACGGCCGCTCACAGTGCTCCGCCGCAGCGCAGGCTTGGCCCTTCCGGAAAGCCGCGTGTGTGCGGTGACTGTCCTTGTCCCGTGTGCACGCAGGAACGGCGGGCTGGCGGCTGTGGGCCCGGCTTGGCTCGGGTGGGCAGGATTGGCAGTGGCAGGAACGCCGCGCTGCCAGGAACGCGCATCCCAGTTTGTGCTAGCAGCTGCCGGCAGCCTCGGGTGTGAGAGGGCTGTGTGCACGCATGTGTGGCCCTGGGGCCGCACGGGGGGCGAGGAGCGGCCTTCAGAGGACCTGGGTGGGCATGCGGGCAAACGCCCCCGAGGACAGTGCCCCAAGGGCACACCCGGCCCCAGCGAGCACTGTCCTCCGCCTCTGCCTGCACACAGAAAGTTCTTGAAAAGCCTCATCCGGAAGCAGCCCCAGGAGCTGCTCCTGGTCATCGGGACGGGCGTCAGCGCCGCTGTGGCCCCCGGCATCCCCGCGCTCTGCTCCTGGAGGAGCTGCATCGAGGCCGTCATCGAGGCCGCCGAGCAGCTGGAGGTGCTGCACCCTGGGGACGTGGCTGAGTTCCGCCGGAAGGTGATGAAGGACCGGGACCTGCTGGTCGTGGCCCACGACCTCATCCGGAAGATGTCGCCTGTGAGTGGCACACCGTGGCTTCTGGTTCGGGCCTGGCTGGGGCGGGGGGGGGGGGGGGGCGTGGCTGGGCGGGGCTGGGCTGGGCTGGGCTGAGCTGAGCTGAGCTGGGCAGGCTGGGCAGGCTGTGGACTCCTCAGCCGGGCCGCCGGGCGCAGTCCGTGCCTCCCCAGCTGGGTCTTGGTAAATGCAGCTGGCTCTGAAGAGCTGAGGGACAGCGCCCAGGCCCAGAGTTCAAGCCCCGCGACCGGCAAAAACAATGAGCTCTGTGGTCCATGGCTGCCCCTGCTGTTGGCTCTTGATCGTGGCGGTCTCCTGCCCCTGCTGGTTGGGTAGTTGTAGTAGAGGCGGGATGACCACAGGCGCCCCCGCCCCCAGCCTGGTAGATAGGAAGAGGGGCAAGCTCCCAGCCCCGAGGGCCCTCCTGGGTGCCGGCTTACTCACCCAGGGCGGTGCTCGGCGCAGCCCTGCTCAGCGGCCCCCGTGCTGGCGGGCACTGACTGGCGCTCTCTCCCCAGCGCACAGGGGACGCCAAGCCCAACTTCTTCCAAGACTGCCTGATGGAGGTGTTCGACAGCCTGGAGCAGCACATCCAGCAGCCCGCGGTGCTGCACTCCATCCTCAGCCTGATGGACAGGGGTACCATGGTGCTGACGACCAACTACGACAACCTGCTGGAGATCTTCGGGCAGCAGCAGAACAAGCCCATGGAGTCGCTGGACTTGAAGGACAAGTCAAAGGTAGAGCGGGGTGGTGGGCGCGCCCGACCTTCCATATGGGCCTGAGCCCACAGCACGAGGCTGGGTCACACTCAGGGCAAAACCGTGCTTGGTCCTATAAACCAAGCGCTGCTCTCGTCTTCCCGTCTGTCCTGGACATGGACTCCTGTAGTCCCCGTGGGATCGGTAGACATCAATAATCAGCACAGCCTCCCACTAGAGGCTCCCGCCTGTCACCCCAGCCACTCAGGAGGCTGAGATCTGAGGGTCACAGTTCAAAGCCAGCCTGGGCAGGAGAGTCCCTGAGACTCTTACCTCCAGTTAACAACCAGAAGACTGGAAGTGGCGCTGTGGCTCAAGGTGGTAGAGTGTTTGCCTTGAGAGAAAAAGCTCAGTGACAGTGCCCAGGCCCTGAGTTCAAGCCCTGTGACTGACAAACATAATAATAAATAATAAGGAAAAGCAAGGCGCCACAGTCTTGGTACCGGGTCTCACAGTGCAGCACAGGCTGGCCTCAAATTTGAGAACTTCCGGTCTTATCCTCCCAAGTGCTAGAACTACAGGCATGTACTACCATGTCTGGTTTTCCTTAAATCTGTAAACTGTTTTTCAGTGTGATGATGATTCTTTTTGTTGTACTAGACTAGCGCTTGATCTTAGAGTCTGGGCGCTGTCTGTGAGCTTTTTTTTTTTTTTGCTCAAGGCTAGTGGTCTACCACTTGAGCCACAGCTTTCTTCGGTAGTTTCTTCAGTAGTGTAGTGGAGATAAGAGGCTCACTGACTTTCCTGCCTGGGCTGACTTTGAACTGTATTCCTCAGATCTCAGTTTACTGTGTAGCTGGGATTACAGGCGTGAGCCACTGACGCCTGCGAGTGTGATTCTAAGACTAAGTTATGACTTTGACCTGCTTGTCAGCCTATTTTTACTGTCTTAATGCTGCAGAGAAAACTTGTATGCTTCTGTCTCTCATTAAGTTCCTGGAGAAGTGTAGGACCTAGATGTGAATATTCCAAGATACAGGATACATATTACCAGAGAATTAGCTATTGCACACCCAGCTGGCTTCGCGGGAAAGCCCACGTCTCATCTTTTGCTGCCAGCGGTGTTATTAAAGAAGTAAACTGTCCATTGCGCATTGGATGGGTGGCGATCTTACGCTGTATTTCCAAGGTGGAGCATAGTCTGGTTTTATTGGCTGCTTGTGTGTTTGTTCCCATGTGCGTTAGGCGCTGCTCCTGCCGCTGGGCAGCTTCTCCCAGTGGCTGTGTGGGGCGAGGCCCCTGCGCGCCGTGCGCCCTGCTCTGTGTGGAGCCATAGTGGTGGGAGTGTGACCGCTGCTGAGAGGAGCCCGCCGGCCGGCGCGGCTGCGGACGCAACAGCAGAGCCGCTGCCACGCTGCCCAGAGAGCGCCAGCCCCGACTTCCTCCCTCCAGGGCTGATGGAGGAACGGCGCATTTCCTCTCCCTGTGTGGAATAACCCGGCCGTTGCGCTCTTGGCTGCTCCTGACAGGTTCTCCAGTGGGCCAGAGGCCACATCAAGTATGGGGTTCTGCACATCCACGGCCTCTACACCGACCCCTGCGGCATGGTCCTGGATCCCTCGGGGTACAAAGACATCACTCAGGACCCGGAAGTCATGGTAGGGCTGCTTTGGTTTCATCCTTTGGGGAGCTCGTGGTTGCCGCTGCGTGGCTGCCGTGTGCGCTGGCACGGGGCCGCGTGTGTCAGAACCATGTCTGGTTTCCATGGTGCCGGGGAGTCCCAGGCCACAGCCCAGCCCTGCCTGCGCCCAGCGAGCGGCTGCTCCAGGAGAGAGCAGCGGCATCCTGCCCCGCTCCCGCCCCTCCTCGCCCCTCAGCCCCCTCCCCTCCGAGCCCCAGCCTTCCCCACTTAGCTGCTCTTCAGCCTGCCAGACTTGGCGATGCTTCCTGCTGCCCGGGCCGTGTGGGTCTCTGTCCTGGCACTGGCCGCAGCGTCTGAGTCTCGCTCTCCAGATGAGGGGCAGCTGCGTGTTCCCAGTGACCTGGCACAGGCTGGCCTTCACTATGCCGGCCCTTGGTCACGGTGCCTCTCCTCCGCTCTCCCCGACTCCCCAGGCCCCGTCCACCTGGCTTCCACAGGAACAAGAGCCCAGCTGGGGTCCACTGAGACTGGCGGTGGCTTCAGGGCACTGGGCTGCCCCAGGCCGCAGGCCGCCTGTGGGGGAACTGTCCTTCAGGGGCCTGGGAGGGGACAGGGCGCAACAGCCCCGCCTGCGACCTCGCATCTGCTCTCGGCTTCTCAGGAGGTCCTGCAGGACCTGTACCGCACCAAGTCCTTCCTCTTCGTGGGCTGCGGGGAGACGCTGCGTGACCAGATATTCCAGGCGCTCTTCCTCTACTCGGTGCCAAATAAGGTAGACCTGGAGCACTTCATGCTGGTGCTCAAGGAGCAGGAGGACCACTTCTTCAAGCACCAGGCCGACATGCTTTTGCACGGGATTAAAGTGGTGTCGTATGGGGACCATTTTGACCACTTCCCAGGATACGTGCAGGACCTGGCCGCCCAGCTCTGCAAACAGCGGAGTCCTGGTGAGGGCTTTGCTTCCCTTTCTACGAGCAGAACACACCATGATGTTCACCAATCTAGTTATTATCTTAAAAGTGTGTCTTCAGCTGGGTGCCAGTGGCTCACACCTGTAATCCTAGCTACTTAGGAGGCTGAGATCTGAGGATCACTGTTTGAAGCCAGCCCAGGCTTTAGAAAACCCCGAGACTCTTATCTCCAATAACTACTCAGAAAAAGCTGTAAGTGGCACTGTGGCTCAAATGGCAGAATGCTAGCCTAAGCACAAAAAGGCTTCGGAACAGCACCCAGGCCCCAGGGCTGTTAAAAAAAAAAAGCCTTCATAGGCTGGGCTTGGTGACTCAGGTCTATAATCCCAGCTACTAAGAGGTGGTTGTTGGGAGGATTGTGGTTGAAGCCAATCCAGGTTCAAAGTCCTTGGGACCTCATCTCAGTCAGTAGGTTATTGGTACACGCCTGTCTGTGATTCTATCCACTACCAAGCTGTAACTAGGAGGATTGCTTTCTGAGCCCGGCCCAAGACTACTGAAAAAGGAATAAAGCAAAATAGGGCTAAAGGTGTGACCCATGTGGGTGATTTCTTAGCAAGCACAGGCCAATTCAAACCCTAAAACCAGAAAGAAAAAAAAAAGAGAAAAAGCGTCTGTAATGTAAAAGCATACTATTGGGGTAAGTGGTTTGATAGTTGTACTTTATAACTGTACACCTAAGTGTTAGACGCATTGTTCATGTTTCTGGTTATCTTAACCAGAAAACACTGCCAGGCCTTTATTTACTTATTTTTTGGTCATGGAGCTTGAACTCTGGGCCTGGGCGCTGTCCCTCAGCTCTTCAGCTCAAGGCTAGCGCTCGACCACTTGAGCCACAGCGCCACTTCCGGTTTTCTGGTGGTTCATTGGAGATAAGAGTCTCATGGACTCTGCTGCCCGGGCTGGCTTCAAACCATGATCCTCAGATCTCAGCCTCCTGAGCAGCTAGGATGACAGGCGTGAGCCGCTGATGCCTGGCCCTCACTGCTGTTGTTTTTTCCAGATGCTGAGCGAGTGGACAGCACTACATTGCTAGGTGAGGCTGATCTGTTGTCTGTTTGATGGTTTTCCCTGCATCTTCTATTAACTTTATGTAGCTGTTTGTAAAATAGTGTGTATTAAACACTGCAGGAGACAGCACCAACAGATCCCTTGAGACGACCCCTGCACAGGGGAGGGGGAGCCCTCCCCTCCACGTCCGGCACTCATTTCTGTTCTAGAACCAAGATCTACGGGGAGTGGAGCAGGGCTCTGTGTCAGGCTCCCTGCAGGGTGCAGACAGCGAGGGCTGCTGTCCCTTAATTGGAAGGGTCCAGCTTTCATACAGACTTTTTTTTTTTAATACTGTTGTTGGGGCTTGAGCGTGGAGCCTTGGTGCTGTCCCAGAGCTTTTCTGCTCAGTAGAGCCACAGTTCTACAGCTGGCTTTTATTTTGCTGCTGTGAAGTTCAAGTCTAAAGTCAGAGATTTAAGGCAACTTTTAGCTGAGAGCCTTTATTTAAAAAATAAACTGTTCTTGACACAGTGGTGGAGAGGAGAGGAGCTGGGGAGCGGGCCTGGCCTCCGGGAGCCCTGTGCCCCGATGGCCGCAGCCCTGCGCGTTGCCCAGGGCTTCCTGACGCCCCAAACTTCCTGGGTTTCCATTGCTGGGTAGGCTGTGCCTTCACCCCGTGGGGAGCCGCCCTCGGGCGTCCTGAGCGCCCCACATTGCCTGCGCTCCCAGGCCTCGCTTCCTGGGCGCATGTGGATGCCGGCAGGTCAGCCCTTGAGGCGGGCAGCTCCTGACAAGCAGGGAGCCCAGAGCCTTCCTGTGGTTGCTGCGAAGGCCAGCCTGCCCGGCCGTCTTTCCCATTGAACAAAGCGGGGGTTGTCTTCCATGTGGTCCTGACTTTGTGGTCCTTTTCTGGTGAAATGGCAAGTTCTCCAATTCCTGGGTTACTTTCCATTATAAATGGGCCTAAACCAGCGGCCACACAGCTCGTGTTCCAGAGGAACTGGTGTCACCCTTTGGCTCAGCCTCCCGGAGGGTCTCAGGCCGGGGCCAGATCTGACGTTGTTGCTGAAATGTGCGGTGAGCGGCGTCTCGTGGAATCCCCATCGAGCCTGGCTGCCTCTGCCCTGGGCAGTCCTCAGTCTGCGCGTAGTTACCCAGCAAGCCCCGCTTCTCCTGGCTGCTTCTGCCCTGGGCAGTCCTCAGTCTGCGCGTAGTTACCCAGCAAGCCCCGCTTCTCCGGACTCTTGCAGAGGCCTGCAGACCGCTTCAAAGGCTTCTGAGCCACACCACGTCCAGCTCTCTGTGTTAGTCTGCTTTTCAGTACTGTGATAAAATACTGAGAAAAGCAACGTAAAGGAAGAAAGATGGATTCAGCTGGATCCTGGTTCTGTGTCAGTTCTCGGTCATGGGGGGCTAGTGGACTGTCCGGCGCCAAGGCCCCACACAAGTAGGTGGCAGAGGAATAGAGAGAGAACAGGAGAATGGCGCGGGCCGGGACGGCAGAGCCCTGCGCTGCTGCCCCAGCCGCTCCTGCTCCTCCTGCACCACCTGCTGCTCGGCCTGTCCAGCCTCCACACCATAACAGACGCGTCTGGTAATGAGTTTTCACCTTTCAGGTAACGCGTGTCAGGACTGTGCAAAGAGGAAGATGGGAAAGAATGGAATGGAAGTTTCAAAAAAACCCAGATCATCAGATACTGGTACTATGTAGTCTCAGATTTGTCTTGGTGGGGTGTTCCTGACTTAGCCGGCTGCTGGAGGACCCCCCCCCCCATTAGAATTTGAGCATGTCCTGGCAGAAAACACACTCGATGTGCGCACGAGCGTTGTGGGTCAGCTCAGGCCAGCCACAGGGTTGGGGACATGGCCTCACACCAAGGGCGGCCCAGCTGAGGGGTCTCCACACTCTGAGAAGGTGTGCACTGCTGCCGGCCGCCGCCACCATTCACTTCGGCCCTGGCAGCCTCTGCAGCGCCGATCCAGGCAGCGGTCACTGCCGCCTCAGGGGTGTGGGGGGGGAGGGGAGGAGGGGTGTGCGGCTGATGTTGAGCTCCTAAGAAACATTGTGATGCGGTTTCTCAGCATGTTTTCAGCTGAGCTTTGGTGTTTTGCTTCAACAGATGATGCTGGAGGGTCTTGAAATCTTTAAAGCCATGAAGAGCCTGCAACGTGAAGCCGCCTTCCGCAACCACAGTGCAGGAATTCCCGCCGCCGTGGCTCTCACCTTCACCCCAGCACTCACCGCGGGGCCCGCAGAGCTGCACGGTGCCTGATTGCCACGTCAGGCACACCGCGGGGACTGATGGTCAGCTACCTCAGGGACCAACTCAGCAGGAGGGGACGCACCTGTGGTCCCCATTGCTACCCCGTGTGCTCCCCCGTGCTGGGGTGGCGTTTCCCTTGTATAGGGAGAGAGTGAGGACTGGCTAAGCCAAGACAGAGCTGGACCTTTAACTACCTGTCAAAGTGTGAAGTCCGGGCAGTCAGAAGCCTTTTCAAAGTGGATTTGGTGTGCCAGGCCATAATGACTGACGGTGAGGGGGTACAAGTGGGGCACGAGACCAGATCTCACTACTGGGGTGGAGGGCCCGGTCTTTCTGTCCTCTTACAGCGCTGCCCTCCCCCCTGCGCTGGTGGCTCGCGTGGAGAGGTCTGCAGGGACCTGGCACACAGTCAACTTTTCCAGGGCTGAGCCGTGTGCAGCAGCCAGGTCGGGTGCTCTGTGCCTGGGGGCTGCTTCAATTGCAACAGTGGCATCCCGTGGCAGAGCCGTCTCTGGAAACAAGCCTTGCAGGTTGTAAGTTGTGGTTGCGGCCTTTGATGACATTTGCCAAGCCTGTGACATGCTCATAGCTGGAGGAAAGTTAAGAACAGGAACATAAGTTTGGGGCATACAGGGAATGGGAGAAGCCAGAGCTGTGTTGATCCTCCTGCTCCTACTACGCATGGAAAACAAATCTTTTTTGTCACTCCGGTTATAAATAAAATTTTAACGTTAACCTTGTGTGCTCAGATTTCTTTAGATATGGCAAGATTTTGAATAAGCCTTAGGGTTTAATGAGAATTTTTTAGTCAGAGTTGCCACCTACTTCTGAGATAAAGTACCACTTTAAAAAGCAAGCATTAATCCAGAGGCTCACACCTGTAATCCTAGCTACTTAGGAGACAGAGATTTGAAAATCAAGGCTCGAAGCCAGACCTAGCAGAAAAGTCCTAAGACTTATTTCCAGTTAATCAGTCAAGTGCCAGACTAGAGCTGTGGCTCATGTAATGGAGTCCATCAAAAATGTTGAGAGCAAAAGGCTGTGAGTTCGAGCCCCTGGTACTAGCACATGCATGTACACGCACAGCAAGCATGAATTACTTTGTATGTGTGTGAATACTGGGGTCTGGACTTGGGCCAAGAGCTCTTTAGCTTTCACTCAGGCTGCACGCCATCACTTGAGCCACAGCTCTACTTCCGTCTTTTAGTGGTTACGTGGAGGTAAATGTCTCAGGCTTCCCTGCTAGGCTAGCTTCGAACCACAGTCCTCTGATGGATGGATATTTGAATCTGAATGCTGTCCCAACAGTAACTGTGTAGCAGTTACTAGCACAGAAGGTGCCTAGAAATAGACAAGCTGGACACAAAACTGGGTGAGTAAATCAGCCCAGCAAAGAAAAGTTCCCAGTGTCCTGCTAAAGAATCTGTCGTGCTATGATGACTGACCTTTCCTGTTGTTTGTTTTGTTCTAATGGTCTGATAGTCCCATGAACACGAGGTCAGTGAAGTTAAGGCCAGATTGTAAGGTGGTTGCATTTTAAGTAGTTGCTAGAGGCATGAGAAGGTCCTTGCCAGGGTTACCTTCGTCCGTCCTTCAAGGTGGGTGCTAACCTGGCTCCGTGATCGTACCCCCCACCTCTCCGTTAGCTCCCTTGGTGGAGTATCATCTCGGGGTTTGTGTGGCTATTTTGAGGTGGGTGTGAATGATGCCCACAAACACACTGTCCTTTCCTACATGCATCAGGTCTGGCTGAGAAAGCCGCATTCTTTTTTTTAATTGTAAAGATACTATACAGAAGGTTACAGTTACATGAGCGAGGTAATGAGTACACTTCCTCTTGAACATTGTTACCCCTCCATTGTTTTCCCCCTACCATCCCCTCCCTCCCTACCTTCCCCGAGGTTCTTTTTTTTTTATTGTGATTAAGTGATTACATAGTTTCCAGAATTTCACAGTATTGTGGAATGATGCTCATTTAAAGTCACAAGTTCATTCTAACTTTCCTGGAGCAAATTGTCTACCAAAGTCTATAACATATAACGGTGTTCACATATACACCATACCTGTGATCAGCAGCGTGGGGATATTTAGTAGTGGTTCGACCAGATGAGTGGGAGTTCTTTGTTTCTTAAGTCCTGTTAGTTTTGTCGTATCACCTAACATTTTGGATTTAGCATCCACTTATCAGGGAGACCATGTACCATTTGTCTCTTTGCTCTTGGCTTACCTCGCTCAACATGATTCCTTCTAGCTCCATCCGTTAAAGCCGCATTCTTAATAGAAATGAGATCTGGAGACATCTGAAATCAAGCCAGCTATTTTTATTGATATTTTCAGTATTAACATAGTTCCTCTGAAACAGTTTCCCATAAAAAATAGTTTCAACTTACTAACCTTTACCCTATCTAAAAACCATGTCTTTCAACAGTTAAGCACTTTAATATTAGAGTGTGGGAGATGTGGATTTCATCAGCACCACAAAATCAAGCCTCAGCAAGAGGCATTTTCTTTCAAATACTTCAGTGTGCAAGGCAAGACCAGAGTGGAGATTGAGAAACTTCTGACAAACGTATCCAAAGTGGTACAGAACAGTGGCACAGGTGCAGCACTGTCTGTCACACAGCCTTCCCTGCGGCAAGCCCGGACACGCCTCACCACGGGCCACAGCTGTCTGGCTAGAATAGTGATGAAAGGTTCTGTTCATCTCCACACAGACCTGGGCTTGTAACTGGGTACTAAACACTGACGCCACCTCTGGTTCCTAACGGGAATGGGAGTCTCTGGACTCTTGAGCATCCTGCTGTTTTTTGCCTTCTTGGCCTGGAAGGTCACATGGATACCGAGAAAGATCCAGAGTCAGAACTCGGCTGAACATGCAGTCATTGTGCTAAAACAGAAAGAGAACAGTTTAAGGCTGGGAAGGTGGCTCAGTGGTAGAGTGTTTGCCTTGCATGCATGAGGCCCTGGGTTCAATTCCCTCAGCACCACATAAACAGAAAAAGCTGGAAGTGGTGCTGTGGCTCAAGTGGTAGGGCGCTTACCTTGACCTGAAGAGCTGAGGGACAGCGCCCAGGCCCAGAGTTGAGGCCCCACAACTGACAAATAAATAACATGACTAGTTTTAAAAAATGAAAACAGTTGCCATGTGCCGGTGGCTCGCGCCTGTAATCCCAGCTACTCAGGAGGCTGAGATCTGAGGATCTCGGTTCAAAGCCAGACCGGGCAGGACAATCCGTGAGACTTATCTTCAATAAACCAATAAAACCGGATGTGGCGCTGTGGCTCAAGCGATAGAGCACTGGCCTCGAGCTGAAGAGCGCAGGGACAGGGCCCAAGCCCAGAGTTCAAGCCCCACGACCGACCAAAACAAAAAACAAAAAAAAAAACAGCTTAAGTCCTCTGTAATTTAGGGCAAAGGATTAGTGCACACAAATAAGGCCTGAAATGAGTGAGTCTGGATTTTTGTTAATAAAAAGGACTCTCCTTTTACCTAAAAGGTCATGAAGAGATAGATGTTCCCTGTTTATACCAGGATTTTTCTTTTAAAGGAAAGTTGATTTAAAAGTATGGAACACGTCGGGAATTTGTGTGTCCTCCTTGTGCAGGGGCCAGGCCAATCTTCTCTGTATTGTTCCAATGTTAGTGTATGTGCTGGGAAGCGAGCACTGCACCAGGATTTTTTAATCTGGTATGAGAACTTCTACCCCATGTAGCCTATTTCTGGATGGTCCTCTAACAGCAATGTAAGTTAAATTTGATCTTAGCTTCAAGGAACATTCAGGAAGTAGGGCCTGAGCCTGAAAACCCAATGTCTGGAAAGCTGCTCTACCTTGGCAGCTCAGGTAGCTTAAAAAGGTGTTGCATATTCTAAAAGCTACTGTGCCACCTGGAGCTTCTGTGGTTTTTCCTGCTTATAATGCATTTGTTTTGCCTAAGACATTAGAAACATCAGATACCCATATTAAGTTTGTTCTGTATAAGTTAATGTATTATTTTATAAAAGTCAGGGTGCTGTAGAGTTAATTTGTCCTTAAAACACATCTTAAACATTTTTCAACTGCAGAAACCCAGCAGTACCGGCAGCTCAGGATGGCAGGTACAGGGCATGCTGGGATGGATGGATGCCTAAGGGGTCTGTGTGCGTACCTCAGGATAGATGCCAATGAGAGCGTCAGCTTTGGAATAGAACTCTTCTTTCAGGGAGATGATGATCATCTGAAACTGTTCTTGAGTCTGCTCTTTGATGTAACTTGACACCTGAGAGGAAATGAGCACAGGTCACCAGCAAGCCAAGGGCTCAGTTGGGCTCTGGAGGCAGCTGGGGGAAAAGTATGGTCTGTAAGTAAACACTACTTCTACTTGAGCGCTCATTTTAGGCAAGAACATTTAACACTCGCTCTTCTGGCCATTTAGTAAACCCATGAACTTCTAAAATAAGAGGTCAGTCAAAATAAAACTACCATGCAAACATTTTATGAGGGTGAAGAAGGGCTTCTGCTTCCTCCTGAGCCTGAAGGTGGAGGACATGGCAACCGTATAGATATCAAGATACAAGGCGTGCTTTTTTTTTTTTTTTGTCGGTTTGGGGCTTGAACTCTGGGCTTGTGTGTTGTCCCCGTGCTCTTCAGCTCAAGGCCAGTGCTCTACCGCTTGAGCCACAGCGCCACTTCCGGTCTTCTAGTGGTTTATTGGAGATAAGAGTCTCACTGACTTTCCTGTCTGGGATGGCTTTGAACCGCAATCCTCAGGTCTAAGCCCCCTGAGTAGCTAGGATGACAGGTGTGAGACACCAGCGCCCGGCTTAAGGCGTGAAGTTTTGAAGCAGGAAAGGCAGCTTCAGGGGAGAAATGAGTCACCAGATTTCCTGAGGAGAGATGGTTCCAGGCAATCAGGCTGGAGTCCCGTCAGCTGCCTGCATCCATCAGGCATTTGAGGCAGAAAGGTGGGGAGTGGGCCACCACTCTGCATTTGAGGCAGAAAGGTGGGGAGTGGGCCACCACTGCAGTGAGCGGCGAGGGAAGAGGAGAGCTACTCTGGAAGAATAGTGCTCTGCTCCAGACACATCACGACTTTCCTCTTCTCCACAGGTCTCTGGCAGACTGTGGGTAGCGCTAGGACCTTCTTGATCTCCTGTCATGCTGGGAAGTGGGTCCTGGGAGGGGCTGAGGTGCCATCTCAGGCTGTAGCTACTACGTGCATTTGATGTGAGACTCACCGGACTTAGTGATCTGGGAGAGTAGCTCCAGAGGCGTGCTCGCTGGGCAGCACCCATTAACCAAGCGCTCAAGATCAGGTTATAAACCAGGTTGCCAATTTGTTTAAGTTCTGAGAAATGTACCTCAGCAAAAACAGCAGCCATAAGACAGAATCCAGTCATCTCTGGAAGAAGATGGGTCTGGAATGGAACCCAGCTCAAAGGGGGGAAGCTCTTCAGGCTGGAACTCTCCCCTAGCCAGGAGAAGGGCTGCCCAGGGTGTGCGCCACCCTGTGGTCAGGTGTTATGGCTGACACTCATGTCCACGAATCACTCGTCAAGAGCTGAGGAGCGGGTGGGCTGTGTGGATCTGTGTCCTGGCCTTCAATGCTGATACAACTCTCTAAGGTAAGCAGTGCCCATGCCTGGCATAACTAATACAATAATAAGAGTTAAAGGTGACCTTGGTTCTGCCTTTGTCTCGAATAATGAAGACAGGCTTATGCACAGCACAGTGAATGGATGATAAAACCAGGCCATAGAACTTTGAACTCTTAGGGCTGGGAAGGTGGCTCAGTGGTAGAGCACTTGCCTTGCACGCATGAGGCCCTGGGTTTGATGCCTCAGCACCACATAAGCAGAAAAAAAAAGCCGGAAGTGGTGCTGTGGCTCAGGTGGTAGAGTGCTAGCCTTGAGCTGAAGAGCTGAGGGACAGCGCCCAGGCCCAGAGTTCAGGCCCCACGACCGGACCCAAAAAAAAAAAAAAAAAGAACTTTGAACTCTTAATTCCTTTGGAGCTTATTTGGAGAGGTTATCCTTGGACTTTAATAACTTATTTGGCCCATGGAACCACATAAACTGAAGGAAACAACTAAAACATCTTCTTTTTAGATACTTATACTTTTAAAGGTACTGATTGTGTGTGTGTGTGTGTGTGTGTGTGTGCTCGTGCATGTGTACACACATGCATACACCAATCCTGGGATTTGAACTCGAGTTTAGGTGCCATCCTTGAGCTTTTTTGCTCAAGGCTAGGGCTTTACCACTTGAGCCACACTTCCACTTCTCGATTTTGGTGGTTAATTGGAAATTAAAGCATCTCATGAACTTTCCTGCCCAGACTGGCTTTGAACCAAGATCCTCAGATCTCAGACTCCCAAAGAACTAAGATTACAGGTATGAGCCAGCCACTGGCACCTGGCCAAAGGTACTGATTTTAGGGGCTGGGAAGGTGGCTCAGTGGTAGAGCGCTTGCCTTGCATGCATGAGGCCCTGGGTTCGATTCCTCAGCACCACATAAGCAAAAAGAAAAAAGCCGGAAGTGGTGCTGTGGCTCAAGTGGTAGAGTGCTGGCCTTGAGCTGAAGAGCGGAGGGACAGCGCCCAGGCCCAGAGTTCAGGCCCCATGACTGGAAAAAAAAAAAGGTACTGATTTTAATGAGCTATTAGTGGTGTGCCTATGACCCCATATAGTTGGGGTAAACTACTTTTTGACCAGGACATGAACCTAGACGTTAAGTCACGTTACTGAAAATTAAAGTGGAGAAAAACTCACTTTGCCAATGTTAGTATTGTCCAGGGCTGCATCCACTTCATCTAGAACAAAGAATGGGGCAGGCCGGTAACTAGAAAAAAATTAGAATCAAGTTAGCAATGTTCTTGTTTTACACAATACTTGTCATTGTCAGGAAGACGAGCAATAGAATAAGACATCTTTTTGGGACGTGGAGCTGTGGCTTACGTGGTAGAGTGTCAACCCTGAGGGAAAAAGCTAAGCAAGAGTGCAAGGCCCGGAGAGTTCAAGCCCAGGCCTGGCACCGAGACACACAGACAGACACGCTTTGGAAAGCTGCTTCGGTAACTGCTTACCTCTCTGCTGCTAAATCCTGGACTCCTTCCTAGTCCACAGCGGCGCCCAGCCCCACGAGCCAGGGCTGGCCTTCCCTGGCCTGCACCTCTGCTCTGTTACTTGGAGGAAACCTGCTTAGTCTCAACCTTCTGAGTCTCTTCTGCCAACTTTTCATCGAACTTTCAAATGCCAATATCTCGGGGCTCAAAGCCTCCTCCCTGCATCTAACTAGCTGCCTTGGTAAGGATGTAGTTCAGTGGGAGAGTGAGAGCCAAGCATGTACCATCCCCAGCCTGCAAAAGGAAAGAAAACCAGCCCTTTTATTTTTAGGGAGAATGTGGCATGGTGCTGCCCGCATGTAACCCCAGGCTTGGCTCTGAGCTCTTGTCTCACACCCTGCCCGCCTCACTGCTTCTGTCAGTCGTGCCAAACGCCTGCCAGTGTCCTACTGCTTTCCCAGCGATTGCTCACCTGCCTGCACTGCACCTGCACCTGCAGAATCCTCGGCTGCTCCCCTCCCCAGCCCTCTTCTTGTCATTCTAGTGTTGGGGCCATGCATGGGCTCATCCCCAGGTCTTCCAGTCCTACTCCCTGTCTGCCAGAGACCACGGTGGCCGCCCTCACCGCATTACAATGGCCTCCCAAACCACCTCACCAGGCTCTCCAGGCCTTTGTACTTGCTGTCCTCAGATCTAGAACATTCTTCCCTTAGCTGTCCACATGATTTGCTCCTTTAATTACTTCATTTCTTTGCTTAAATGTCACCTTCACAACAGACTTCCATGTTGACTTTTTTTTTTTTTGGCCAGGGCTTGAACTCAGGGCCTGGGCACAGTCTCTGAGCTGCTCTTGCTCAAGGCTAGCACTCTACCATTTTGAGCCATAGCTCCACTTCTAGCTTCTGGATAGTTAATGTGAGCTAAGAGCTCACAGACTTTCTTGCCTGGACTGGCTTTGAGCCACAATACTCAGATCTCGGTCTCCTGAAGCTAGGAGTACAAGCTTGAGTCACTGGCGCCCAGCTCCCCCACCCCGAGGCTCTGAAGCGCAAGGCTAGCACCACTTGAGCCACAGCGCTACTTCTGGATTTTGTTTATGTGGTACTGAGGAATCGAAACCAGGGCTTCATGCATGCTAGGTAAGCACTCTACCGCTAAGTCACATTCCCAGCCTCCTCCACCTTTCTTAAATGCTGGTCCTGGGCTTGAACTCAGGGCTCATGTTATCACTTGTGTTTCTTGTTCACAGCTAGCCTCTACTACTTGAAGCATGTCTTCGGTCTGGCATCTTGCTGGTAATTTAGAGACAGAAGTTTTTTGGACTTTTGTGCCTGGGCTGGCTTTGAACCATGATCCTTAGATATCAACCTGTCACAGCACTGGTCCTCAGGAACTCTCTGTTGCATACAGGCCTGGACTGCCACCTAGTGGCAGTCTTATTCTACGATGATCCTGGGTTCAGAGACCACCAGCTCTCTTGAGCCTCCTTACTCTGAAGTTCCTCTGTCTGTCTGTCTGTCCTGTGGTCAGTAGAGTCCCACTGCCAACCCCCAAGTTCTGATGTTCCTGCTGCGGGATGATGGTGACAGACGCCACTCAACTAAAAAACCTGTCACCACTGTCACTGGAAATGAGGTTAAGTACACTTTTTTCTTTTTAAAAGAAATACTTAAAACAGGCACTAGTGGCTCACACTGTAATCCTGGCTACTCAGGAGGCTGAGATCTGAGGATTGCAGTTTTAAGCCCCAGACAGAAAAGTCCCTGTGAGACAGTTAACTCCAATTAACCACTCAAAACTGGAAGTGGAGCCTGTGGCTCAAAGTGGTAGAGCTCTAGCCTTGTGCAAAAGAGCTAAGGGACATTGCCCAGGCCCTGAGTTGGAGACCCACAACCAGCATATATACAAAAAAAAAACCTTTGCATTTGGTATTCTTTAGTGAATAGAAGATCTCCAAATATGAACGAGGAAAATAATACACAGTTGACTTCCTGGTTTTGTTCTTTGTGGCCATCCTGATGTCCTTTCTGGACAGCTCAAGCATTTCTTTGCGGGCTGGCCTGTAGCTCAGTGGTAGAATGCTTGCCTAGCATATATGAAGCTCTGGGTTCAATCCCTGGGACAAAAAAACCAAATATTTCTTCTTTTTGATTTTCTAGAAAGCATGAAAGTTCCAAGTTATTGCTTAAAAACATTTGTTGACGTCTGAACTTTCTGATTTGCTGTCTAAATTGCTATAGGTATAAAACAATTTGATGAGACCAGTTTGATATACACTTTCTATTGTCTGCAGACATAACCCCTGGTTCTCTGCCCTGGCATAAGGCCAGTCCCTGGTTTAGAGACAGTCCCCTGTGTAAACTGGTTCCCGGTGTAACATCAGTCGCTGGTAGAGAGCTGGTCCCTGACATAACTCTGGTCCCCAATATAAAGCAGGTCTCTGGGCTAGCGCTGGTCTTACCTGTGCACAGCGAACAGGAGAGCCAGAGCTGCCACGCACTTTTCCCCGCCTGACAAGTTGTCCATCGGCATAAACCGTTTTCCTGGAGCCACACAGTTGTAGCTGACTCCCTCCAGGTACGGCTCTTCAGGATTCTCTGGGCTAAGAAATGCCTGGAACACAAATGACTTATTTAGCCATTATCAGAAAACTAGCTAACTAGTTAACTGATTGCAACTGCAGGGAGAACATAAATCACAAATATTTGTTGATAAGGATTTCCTCAGTTTTGATGGAAAAATACCAGTACTTGTGAATAATGTACTTGGTCTATAGGCTTACTCACAGGCTAGGGCTGGGGCAGGGAGAGAAAGCATTCTGGCATGCTCACGATTTTGGCCTTTGTGCCAGGCTGCCGGCAAGATCTGAACCATGCCTTTACAACACAGTTGTGGGATCACTGTCTGCTCACCAGACATTTATGCAACACTTTCCTGGGCCACACACAGAGAGACCCTATTTCAGGGAGTTAGGGGCATACTTTAGTCTTACTTGACTGAACATAAGCTAAGTTTTAGAACTTAGTTCTAGTTCTTTTTTTTTTGTTTTTTGTTTTTTGGGGGTCCAGGTGTGGGGCCTGAACTCTGGGCCTGGGTGCTGTCCCTCAGCTCTTCAGCTCAAGGCTAGCGCTCTACCACTTGAGCCACAACGCCACTCCCGGCTTTTTTCCTTTTGCTTATGTGTTGCTGAGGAATTGAACCCAGGGCCTCATGCATGCAAGGCAAGCACTCTACCACTGAGCCACCTTCCCAGCCCCTTAGTTCTAGTTCTAAAACTATCCTAAAAACCCTATCCCAGGATCACTTCAGTCACAAAAGAACATGAACCAAGAGCAGAGCAGGAATGAAGTGCTGACCCACACCTTTATTCCACATTACATTCCACAATTATTTGCTGTGTACGTTAGTAACATGGACTGGTGATAGACAAGAGACCTGGACCCTGTACTTGGACCCTGCTTTAGTTCTTTCCCTCTCCTTTACTTAAAACTCCAGAGATGAGTCATCTTCCCAAGGTCCTTTACACAGACTATACCTTTACCACAAAAGAAAAAGTACTGTAGTACCAGACAACAGAATTTCACCATGAAGAGAACCTGAAAACCAGCTATGCTAACCTACTCATTTATCAGGTGGGGAAACAGGCTCAGAGTGTTCTGCCTTGCTGAGTGTGGCTTCAGAATGGGGATGGGATCAAAGCACAGGCTATGAAACAGCAGCGCCCCTGAGCGAGGCACTCCAGCCTGCAGCGGCAGGCAATGCGTCCGCACTCTGGAATCCCCACTCCTGCCTGGGATGGGATGCATTACCTGGGCACTGCTGTTTCTGCAGAGCTTCTTGTAGATCTGGTCAATTGAGATGGAGACGTGCTCAAAGCATTGGCTGAAAAGGTCGAATCTCTTCTTCTTCACCTGCTCAAACTCCTGCCTGCATATTCTGGCTTCCTTTCTGCTGGCCTCAAATGCTAAGACAGAATTTGGGAGGCCACTGAGATACTTAAAGTTTAAAAGAATACAATATTTTGAATTGAAATTTCAGTTACGTTGTTTTAAATTTACCTTCAAAACACCTCAGCTATTACTAATTCTAAGAGCAAATCTCTTACAATTGAGTCCTTTTATGGCAGGGCTAATTTATATCTTTCTTTCTTTCTTTCTTTTTCTCGTCAGTTGTGGGACTTGAACTCTGGGCCTGGGCACTGTCCCTCAGCTCTTCAGCTCAAGGCTAGCGCTCTACCACTTGAGCCACAATGCCACTTCCAGTTTTCTGAGTGGTTTATTGGAGATAAGAGTCTCACGGACTTTCTTGCCTGGGCTGGCTTTGAACTGGGACCCTCAGATCTCAGACTCCTGAGCAGCTAGGATTATAGGCACGAGCCACTGATGCACAGTGGCAGGACTAATGTCTAAATGATGAACAAATTCTGAATATGCCTATTGCTGTTATTAAAAAATTAAATATCTATTCTAAAATAACCAATAAACCTATTTTTAAAATTCATTCAGAGTATTTTATAAAGGGACAAATTAATAATTCAACATTAAAAGTACACACTTATATAAGACAATAGAGGAAAATATACAATAAAAAAAACCAGGTCAGGCTCTGGTGGCTCACACCTACAATCCTTGCTACTTGGGAGGTTGAAAATGGGAGAATCTTGGTTCAAGGCAAGTCTGGGCAGTAAAGGTAGTGAGACCCTCTCCTAAGCCTATAGCTGGGTGCACTAAAGAGCACCTGTTATCCCCAAGCTACATGAGAGGCCGAGATTGAGGCAATGGCAGTTCCAGACCAACCCAGGCAGTGAGGTCTGAGACTCCATCTCTACAGAAGAAGCTGGATGCATGTACCTGATCACAACACAGGTGTATGTGTGTGACTGGTAGGAAGACCGACCCTGTTCTATACATACATAACTAACTAGACAGTGTGAAACAGGAGTGGAGGCATAGCTCGGGAGAATTATGCCAGCCCGACAAGCCTGAGGCCCTGATTTCACATTCTCAGTACCAGACAAGCAAAAAGGAAAGTTACAATCCACTGAGATTGTTGGCACATGGTACAGAAATCAAAGCCACCACGGATATGATCTTGTTAACAACCATAAATATAAATTCAATTTCACCATCTGTGGACTCTTGAAACTTGTCTCTGACATTCTTTAAGTTCTCCAGGGCTCGCAGGTTTGGGGTTGCTGTCTTCAGCAGAATGTCTTCTTTGGCTGCTATTTGCTCCCGAAAGAGAGTCAAGTAGACCTGTACTTCTTTGTCTCTTTGCAGGGCCTATTATTAGCAAAGAACAAGAGTGACTTGCATGTGTGTTGTGTTGGGCTGCTAACCTAAGATGTATACACAGGGCTGTGGCCATCCACCCCACCAGCTAGCTCTTCCTATAGGAGCCCTGGCCTTGGAACTGAAGGTACACTGCATGCCTGTAGCTCCCTACTCAGGTGGGCCTTTCAGGCTGTGGTGCTGTATGTACTGCCTTTGAGACATGGTTTACTTTCTTAGTTTTTAAACTGGCTTGTTCAACAAAAATACTGACCATTCATTATGCATCACTGATGAGTGATGACAAAACTACTCCATCTCTTCCTCTGACAAGCTCATAGCAAAGTCAGAGTTACAAAATGGCATTTGCAACAGGATGAGGACAACCTCTTCTCTGGGGAAACAGGTACTAGACAGTGGTGTGTGTGTGGGGTAATAATTAGCCAGGAACTTGATGGAGGACTAGGACCAACTGAAATGAAATGAAGAGAGAAGGGGAAGTACAGCCATTCCCTCCTGGAAAGCCTTGACTTCCAGAGAGGGGTTAATTAGTTCATAATAAAAGTGAGATTAGAAGACAATTTTTGGAACAAAGTAACTCTTAAGAAATAAGTGCTTATAGATCTAAAATACACTGGAGCATGATAAATTATATAGGACTCTAGGCATTCATACATAAACAGTGAGACTAAAAGAGGTTACTCTTAGGGGAGGAACCCAAATGCATACTGCCTCTGAACATTTAAAATACTATTTGTTGAAGCAAATCCCAGGAGATGGAAACATGGGTGTTTTTTTTTTTGTTTGCTTGTTTTTTTTTCTTTTGGGAGGGGCTAAAGGAATGGTAGAAATGGAGGAAGGAAGGATGAATAAATGCAGGCACGGTCCTCCGTAGACACTGGAAAACTCTGTAACTTGTGGGCAGGGACGGGACGGGGAAACAGAGGGGGAGGAAAGGAAGAGGTGACACTTCCAAACAAAATACACTCATTACAGCCGGGCGCTGGTGGCTCACGCCTGTCATCCTAGCTACTCAGGAGGCTGAGATCTGAGGATCGCGGTTCAAAGCCAGCCCGGGCAAGAGAGACTGTGAGACTCCTATCTCCAATAAACCACCAGAAAACCGGAAGTGGCGCTGTAGCTCAAGTGGTAGAGCGCTCGCCTTGAGCTGAAGAGCTGAGGGATAGCGCCCAGGCCCAGAGTTCAAGCCCCACGACCGACCAAAAAAAAAAAAAATACACTCATTACCTGACTTATGAAACAGTAACCCTACTGCACACACATGAATAACAATACAATTATATTCTAAAAAACCCATTATACTAATGTAAATTTCAGATGAATTAAAAAGACAAATGAAAACAAAAGAAAACCACCAACACAAAAATATAAATGTTTATAAGTCATGGGTGGTGGTAGGTAAAGTACTCTCTAGACACAAACTCAAAGGGAAGGAGCTCTGCATAGAAAACTACTGAGAGGATAAAGGCTGTTTTTGAGTACCAAAGAATGCCACAGAACAGACAGCCCAAACAAATCTCACAATGTATGTGAGCAACTGGAAGTGCAAGATCCCCTCCATATCCATCTTCCTTTCTTCCAGCACAGTCCCTGCCTTGGCCGGTGGCCATTCCCACCTGTGAAGCCGTGCCCTGCGGGTGATCCTGCTCACTCAGAGGAAAGCTGTCTCTGCGTGCCCCTGCGACCAGTGGCTGGGGTTCAGGAACACACACACGACTCCGCTCAGATCCCGTGAAAACAGCTGGGATTTTACAGGAAAACCTTCTGCTCTTATAACAGCAGCACCCCAAGTGCGCTAGTCACTGTCCCTTTAGAAGCAGCCTCAAGAGGAAGCCGAAGAAACATATGGCTATCGCTGACAGAACCAGAGCCAGTGGCTCCATGGAATCGAATGGCAGTGCAGCCATGCCCTGCCTCTGTGGAGGGTCCGCCCTCTCCCCTTCCAGATTTAATATCAATATTGCTCTGAGAACTCTCTGGGTTACCTTTAAGTCACTCCGTAGAGAGCTGTAGTCTATTTCCATGGCCGCCTCCCTTTCATAGATGTCCGTTGTCGCCTGGGTACTTTCTGTTCCAGTCCCCAACTGAAACACAGGAAAATCCTTCCTTGTTATCCAAATGGGGACCTGTACTCGCTTCTCTCTCCTCGTCTTCAGTTTCTTGTCATCTCATTCAGACTGAAGAGCCTGCCACGGCAGGGTCGCCTGTGCCCCCGACCCATGGCTACTCTGGGGCACCATGCGAGCCTTCCTACTCCAGCAGGCGTGCTCCTCCAGCTGGCACACTGCCTCTCCATGTGTCTGCTTGCCTGTCATTGCCTCCGGCTACCTGGGCCTCACCATGCACAGCTGTGAGCACAAGCTGTCAATACTCTGCGTTTGTCCTTTCTGTTGTCTTTAGCATCTTACTTATCCTTTGTTTGCTTGTCTCCTCCTACTAGACTGAGAAGACTTCTGGCTGCTGTTTTTGTTGCCTAGCACAAAGCCTGACATGTGTATTTCAATTTCAATACATATTATGCCCTGGAAGGAACAGGATAAACACAACAAATAAATGATCACTATTTAGTTAATGCTGATTCAAACCGAGACCTATAAGGGGAAAAAAAAAACCTCTTTTTAGACATTCCCAACTAATACAAACTCAAGGAAAATCACTGTGAACTAATAAGTATACCTCTTACAAAATACTCATGATTAACTCAAATAGAAGGTTGAATCTGAATATAAATCTGTAACACAGAAGCTCTAAATCTCATGATTCTGTGTGATTTGTACCACACATCTATCTATGGCTGCGTTTGACATGGTGGTGCTTGCCTGACTCAACACATGGAGGGCTGAGGCCGGATCTGAGTTCTAGCCCAGCCTGGTTCATGTTGTGCGACACTGTCGAACAGCAGCAACAACAGCCACCCATGACGTCTATGCAAGTCAGCTGGGGCCTTTCAACTCAAAGGGTGGCCTATGTGGCAGCAGCAGTGTGGCCTCACCTGGGGGGGGTTTGGGAATGCAGACTCAGTATCACACCAAGATGCCTCTTCTACACGCTGCAGGTTGATCAGCAGTAGTCTAGCAAAGTCTCCCCACAATGTAAGAGTCTTCTACCAGAAATATAGTGTAACTGGCTTTGCCTCAACATTTGTCAATGGAAGGGAAGTTTCTGGTGTACCTCACAAGTACAGACTGTTAGTCCTGAAGTAATTGTTGCAAGACAATCATTTCTCCCATTAACACAAGTTCAGTCCTTTGGGAAGCATATTCCTTGGGCCTTTCCTATTCTGGGCTTTCAGCGCCTCCAGTATCCAGGCGCTATTAGATGTGCTCACACACCACAGAGGCCTGCCATCTTCTGACAAGGAAGTGTCCCTGGTGAAAGTGCACAGACTCGGGCTGGGAAGGCGGCTCAGTGGTAGAGCGCTTGCCTTGCATGCATGAGGCCCTGGGTTCAATTCGCCAGCACCACATAAGCACAAAAAGCCACAAGTGTCACTGTGGCTCAAGTGGTAGAGTGCTCGCCTTGAGCTGAAGAGCTGAGGGACAGCACCCAGGCCCAGAGTTCAGGCCCCATGAGCGGACCCCCCAAAAAAAAGAAAAAGAAAGTACGCAGACTCTGTGGCTTTCTGAACGCAAGCTAGGATACTCCTGGGACCAGGAGTAGCAAGTGTGGCCCTCAAGACAGACTTGCTTCTGTCTGAAGAGAACCATCTTCCCGTTGACCCTTCCCTTATAGGCCATGTTCTAGGCCTTCCTTGGGCTTTAAAAAGTACTGTGTGGCTGACAACTAGCACAAGCTGGGGCAGAAGCATCAGTGGAAAGCCTGTCAACGCCCCCCACCATGCATGACTGCCTGAGTCCATAGATTACGTCAGAACCCTGTCTTGTATACATTCAATATGGGTTTATACAAATGTATAAAGAAAAACATGGAACCACCACCTCAATGTTAGACAGACCAGAAAACCACTGCTCTAGGTAAAGACCTAGGTACAGGATGGATTTATACAAATGTATAAAGAGAAACATGGAACCACCACCTCAGTATTAGACAGACCAGAAAACCACTGCTCTAGGTAAAGACCTAGGCACAGGCAAATGCTATTTACTTCCCATTCCTCTTCAGTCCCTGGCAGTTGCACACTGCATGCTCCCCAGGTTCATGATTCCATATCAGCATGCAGCTGAAATCCTAATATGAGTATAAATCTCTTACATGTCTTTTCATGGCTAGACAGTCGATCACTTTCTAGCACATGGTCTCAATGCACCAGCTGCTATAAGTTATTTTGGTTGCTTCCAGTTTTAGCAATTATGAATAAAGCTGTTATAAACATTTAAGTGCAGGTTATATGTGTGCGTGTGTTGGTCCTGAGGCTTGAACTCTGGGCTACTGTGCTCTTCCCTTAGCTTTCTTGTTCAAGAATGTCATTCAGCCCTGGAGCCACACTCTATTTTTATTTATTTATTTTTTGGCTGGCTAATTAGACATAAGAGTCTTGCAAACTTTTCTGCCAGGCCTGGCTTTGAACATGAGCCTCAGAGTTCAGTCTCCAGAGTAGATAGGATTATAGGTGTGAACCACCAACACCTAGCTCCCAGTGTAGATTTTTCTGTGGGCATGTTTCTGCGGACACTTTTTGGGACAAATACCAGCCATAAAGGGGCTCTAGAGCCAGAGGAAAGGTAGAAATTCAAAGAACACTATATTCAGTTCTGCTCAACGTCACATGTTTTAAAATCATCTGTTAGATGGGGAGAGAGGGAAGGAAGGGGTGACACTGTCCAAAAGGAAGTGTACTCGTGACCTGACTTAAAAACGATAGTCCTGCTAGGCGCCAGGTGGCTCAGGCCTGTAATCCTAACACTCAGGAGGCTGAGATCTGAGGATCACAGCTCAAAGCTGTGTGACTCTTATCTCCAAATAACCACCAGAAAACCAGAAGTGGTGTCATGGCTCAAGTGGTAAGAGTGATCACCTTAAGAGCTGAAGAGCTGAGGGACAGCACCCTGGCCCCATGACCAACAAAAAACAACAATAACAACGACAAAAAACAATAATCCCTCTGTATATTACCTCTATAACTTAATTTAAAAGAAGAAAACTATCGTCTGCTAGAATACCTCCACTTCAATGATGTCATCCAGGGATCCCAACAAGAGAATGATTTCAATGTCTTGAACTTTGCAATCAAGCAGCAAGTTATGCTTCTCTAGTCGTTTCTGTTCCAGAGATGTCTGAATGATTACAATTTCCTTTTGCAATTTGTCCAAATCCCTGTTAAGTACACAGACATGAGTAGTGATTTTACATATTATGTATAGTGCGCCAAAGAAGAAATGTGTTAAATTATGAACTTTCATTAAAAAGATTATTTTCAAGTGACGTATGGGGACATATCTTTAATTCTAGACATATTTTTAATCCTCATAGATGAGACAGTAGGATTTCAAATTTGAGGCCAGCCTGAGCTACATAGTGAGACCCTATCTAAAAAAATATAAGAAAGACTGATTTTCTTGTGCTAGTTTGGGACTTAAAAAATTAACACTTCTGAGAAAGGTATAAAGAATTAACCCAAGGAAATGTGTTTACTTTTTATTTTGTTCCAGTACTAAGACTGGAACTTGGGAATTTTCATACTTGCCTTTTGCTCAAAGCTGGTACTCTACCACTTGAGCTACAGCTCCACTTTTAGCTTTCTGCTGGCTAATTATAAGAGTCTTTCAGATCTGTCTGCTTAGACTGGTTTCAAAATGAGATTCTTTGCTCTCAACCTTCGAGTCTCTGGGATCACAGATGAAGGCCTCTGGTACCCAGCTCAAGGAAGTATTTCAAAATAACGAGCATTCTGGCTTCAATCAGGGATGGAAAAACACACTACTTTCAGGGTGTCTTTATTATTATCTTTGTAAATAGCCCCACTGGCTATTCAGAAGCTGCCTCGGCTTTCTAAGTGATGGGGTCATACCCAGGACCCATTAATTCATTTAAAATCTAAATTTTCAACCTAAGCTTCTCCCTCATATAAGCTCTCTGTTTTAGAACTTCAAACCAAGAATTTCTTAACCAAAAAAAAAAAAAAACCATAAGGCAAGTCACGGCTTTCATAACAGCGTGGAGTTTCTTTGCAATCATTACTACTGCTTTAGCTCCTGAGCTGAACATGAGGCGGGGAGTTTGCAGCTGAGCCAACGGCACCTTTAAACAGGACCCCAAAGAGAGCAAAGAGAGACCAAGAATACAAAGTGAAAGGAGAGAAGGGAGCGAGGGCAAGAAGAAGGAGGTGCGATCACAAGGTTTTCAAGAATATGAAAAACAGAAGTGGTCCTACTTCAACTAAATATATAGGTTAAAAAAATCAGGAGTCGTGCTCCTACTTGTAATCCTAGCTACTCAAGGGGTGTGGTTTGAAGCCAGCCTCTTCAGGGAAAGACTGTCTTACATCCAATTAACCACCAGAAACCAGAAGTGGAGCTGAGGTTCAAGTAGTAGAGTGCCAGCCTTGAGTAAAATAAGCCCAGGGACAGCTCCCAGAGTCCCTGAGTTCAAGGCACTCCTCCCCTCCCCCCCCAATCAGAAGTAAACATTTTAGTTCCACTTAAAGATCATATACTAAGAACTGAGTCTTAAAGCGCTCAAGGTCTTTGGTCAGTAAGGAAAACTATGATACGCCAAGAAAAGAAAACCTTTGTTTCCATCACCGTGCTCATGCCAATCACAAGTAGGGGTACGTCACTTTGGTAATGTTAGCCAACTCAAAGCACCATCATCGTCACGGCAAATTCATATGCTCGCCAGACGCCCTAAGTGCTGTTCATATGCTCGCCAGACGCCCTAAGTGCTGTTGAGCATTAACTCAATCTCCATAATTATTTGGAAATAGACTTTTATCATCTTTGTTGGAAAGGAAAAGTAAGTTAAATTCCTTGATACGGAACTGAAGGCACAATACATAAGGAGCAGAGCTGTTCTCTGCTCCCAGACTGCACAGACCACAGGGACTCTGGACCTCTGGAAGACACCAGTATCAAGAGCATTTTAAGGTAAGAACACAATACGAGTTCGTGTTTCCTCCCACCAAAGAAAACTAGGCACACTAAACAACTTGCTTCTCTTGGGTGTCCCCTAAATTAGGATTTCTGTGTGACCAAGAGCAACAAAGGGTACCATACTCAACTTCAGATAATAAATTCCAGATAATAATAATAAATTTCAAACTGAGAGTACACATTTATTTAATTTTTTTGTCTGTCATGGGGCCTGAACTCTGGGCCCAGGTACTGTCCCTCAGCTCTTCAGCTCAAGGCGAGCGCTCTTATCACTTGAGTCACAGCGCCACTTCCGGCTTTTTCTGCTAATGTGGTGCTAAGGAATCGAACCCAGGGCCTCATGCATGCAAGGCAAGCACTCTACCACTGAGGCACCTTCCCAGCCCGAGAGTACACATTTAAAGCATTACAAAGATCTTTCAAACTGTTGAACTTGTAGTTACCTATCAATGGCCAAAATCTTCTTCCGTTCCTCTTCAATCTGAGTTTGAGCTTTCTCAGTGTCAGAGTTCTGAGTGACAAACATGTCCATAAATTGCTGCCGTTTCGCCATGAGGTCATCCACCTCTTGGAGACAGTCATCTTCCATCTAAACACAGAGGAGATACATTATAGAGTACTCGCTTTTATATGAATGAGGTCAACAGTTCTGGTATTATTGACAAACAAGCCCAGCCATGCTGAGTGAACCTGCCTTGACCCCTGTTATCATCCTATACTACCTGTGCATTGGCAACCACTCTCTATCACTGCCTTCCTCCTTATTTTGGATCATGCCAGGCCTTGCTTCATTCCCACGGTCCAGTGAGAAGTACTGTTGACACTACGACCTTCCAGACTGCCCTTTTAACAGCTTTCTTCACTTCCTGGGCTTCTGTACTGCTCCCTTTATGCTTTTCCCACCAGAATCCCACTGTTGCTCTCACTGTCTGCTGAGTCTCAACCTTTCTCATACAGTTTCCATTTATTCTCATAAAGGAGCAACTTCTAAATCTGTGGGTCCAGCCTAGACTTCTGCAACAATCCTGAATCATCTGTGGCATCTTCTTGCCCACCCCCCCATGTGACATCCACCACTAACATGCTCCTTTAGGAATTCGAACATGGCTGCTTGATGAGCGTCTAATTGCAATGAAGAGGCACTTTAAGCCACCCATTATGCATTACCTTCTTTAGCTTATCAGTTTCTTCTCTATCTTTCTGGAGTGTTTCTTTTAATGTGTTGATCTTGCTCAGTTTCTTCTTAAGTTGGTTTTGACTATATTCAATCTGAACATTAAGCCGAGTTTTCTGTTTTTCAAATTCCAATCTAGTATAATAAAGTCAAACATCACAAGTGGTAAGCAGAGTGCTTTTTACATACAAAAGTAGAAGGAATACTACCATAAGCCCTATGTGGCCCATTTCCAACTTTTGTAGTGATCACTTCACCAGGCATGGGGGTGGAGGGGTGGAGGGGGGTGTCACATCTATAACCTTAGCTACTGAGGAAGCTAAAATCTGAGGATACTGGCTGAGGCAGGAAAGTCCATGACACTAGTCTCCAATAAACTACCCAAGCTAGAAATAGAGCTATGGCTCAAGTGGTAGAGCGCGCGCACACACACACACACACACACACACACACACACACACACACACACACACACAGACACACACAGACACACACACCAATAAGGGAATAGGAAATGTGTTCAAGTGGTGAGCAGCCACCTAGCAAGAGCAAGGCCCTTAGTTCAAACCCCAGTACCATCAAAAAAATTGTGTCAAGCTGGGCACCGGTGGCTCATGCCTGTAATCCTAGCTACTCAGGAGTCTGAGATCTGAGGATCACTGTTCAAAGCCAACCCGGGCAGGAACATCCATGAGATTCTTATCTCCAATAAACCACTAGAAAACTGGAAGTGGCACTGTGGCTCAAATGGTAGAGCGCTCGCCTTGAGCTGAAGAGCACAGGGAAAGCGCCCAAGGCCAGAGTTCAAGCCCCACAACCAACCAAAAAAAAAAAAATTGGTCCATATATACAATTAGGTAGACTAATTGTATTTAGGCATTTAAATGACTACTTCTTTGTATAACACTGTGTTTTCCTTATAAGAGAACTAGAACTCATATTTGCTTTTTGTTACAAGTTTTTAGATATTTTTCTAAGAAAATGCATTTGTACTAGTTATTTAATAAACTTAAGTAAAAATTACCTCAGGCACAATTCCTCTAAATTAAGAAATAACAGTTACTTCTATATATGTGCAAACTGTTCATTAATGTCTTCTAGTAAACATACCTTTTTTGGTCAACTTCTTGATGCTGTTTAACATGTATATTCTCAAATTCACGAATATTTGCTACGCCAATTTCTTCACAAAACTTTTGGAATATGTCATCTTCAACCTTTTAAATTATTTTTAAAACAACTGTCTCAATAAGGAATTAATAAATACCTAGATAGTGCCATAGATAGTGCTTAAATATAAGTTTTTTTTACTCCAAGATTTTCCTGGATTAGGCCAAAAACTAATACAATTCAATATTACTGTATGCAACCACTGCTTTTTCTTCTATTATCTCTATAAACTATGCTAAACTATTTTCAAACTGCATGTTCAGATAAACTAAGTAAGAAAGCTCATTAACTGGGTTTATTAAATGTTTTGGCTCTGTGCAGTTTAACACAAAGCTGATGGACTCTATTTACCACAGCTACACAAAATGTTAATAATTTGTACAAATTCTTCTTTATATATGAGAAAAAAATCTCATAGATTAAAAAGGAAAGGTTAGCATAGAGTTAAGAATCAAGCCAGAAACCAAGTATGGTGGTTATCATCTATAATTCCAGCTTCTTGGGGAGATCAAGAGATTGAGGCCAACCTGAGCAAAGTTATCAAATGAAAGGGCTGAGACATAGGTCTACTAGCCTGAGCTAAATCCCTCCACCCCCCAAAATTTAATTTCAACAAGTTTTACAAACATTATGTGAACTTGTAGGAGAGAGATAGGTATTGTTTAAAAAAAAACATTTTAAGCCAGGTGCTGGTGGCTCATACCTGTAATCATAGCTACTTAGGAGGCTGATTAAGACTGTGGTTCAAAGCCAGCCTAAGTAGGAAAGTCCATGAGACTCCTATCTCCAATTAACTACCAAAAAAAAAAAAAAGCCAGAAGTGAAGCTTCACTAGCCTTGAGCATAAAAGCTTGGGGATGATTTCCAGTTACAGAGCTCAAGCCCTAGGACCAGTACAAAAAATAAATTAAGATTTTAGTTGACTATGCATTAACTATAAGTGAGGCAGGGCAGAGGCAGGAACATGGCCACGAGCAGGGCAAAGCACAGTGTGTGATACCCAACGGCGTAAGAGCTAAATGAGAAAAGGTAAAAGGCTCCTGCCCAGCTTTAAGCAAAGGCCAGATGGCCAATGTTTGTTACCATAGAGCCATAGGTGCCCTGGATCTGGTCTGGTCTAGAGCCATGTATGTTGCTTAGTGATAAGTATGACGTTCATCACCTTGTCTATCTTCTCTTGAAAATCTTCGATTTTCTGCTGCTGTTCTGTGATTCCTTGGCTCAGCATAGTGCACTGAGCCTCTATGTTTAGTAATTCGCTTTGTAGTTGAGATTGTTCCTAATAACCAAAGGAAAACATTGTCTTACGGCAAGCTTAGTTTTATGCAGTGAGGTCAAAACATGATAGGATAGGTGTCTTTACAATCAGGGAGGAAGATGGGTGTCGTATGCAATAGCTGCTGCGCTGTAACTCTAACCTCCACATTTTTAAATTTTTAGGTCTGAGACTAGAACTCAAATTTGGTAACTCTGCTTTCACTCACTGGCTATCATTTTACCAACTGAGCCACACCTCCAATCCCAAACCACCACATTTTATATATGCTGCATTACCCTGGAAAAATTAGCAAGCTGCTTCTTCTTAATCATCTCCAGTTCACTCTGTGAATACTTGAGTCGTGTCTGAGTTCCTTGTATTTGGGTCTGTATTTGTTTCAAATCTATTTCCTTGCGGAGTGCTTTCATCAAATCCTGAAAAAGAAAGAAATGTGAAACATTTACAACAGAAGAGTCCTTTACTCTTCAAAGGGCTTTCCTACGTAATACATGATATGATACCGATTTTCCGACACAACCCCTCTTCCCCTTCTTCTGGGAAGTCTGGGCATGAAAACACATTGAGCACCTGAGTGTGAGGACATACAGCTTCCTCAAAAAGTAAACATACGTCCTAGCAGGAAGAAGAGCGCATGAGACACTGCGTGAGGACATGCTCCATGCATGTACGTGCCCATCAGCACCTGGCTTGGGGGGGCAGGGAGAGCAGGACACTGTCTTGCTCTGAGAGCCTCCTGTTCTTTTTGCTTCCCTCCTCCATTCCCTTCTCCCTTCACACACCTATTACTCAACCAAAACAAATCAAAACAAAATTTGATTTCACCACAGGTCTAGCCTGTAGTTCTGAGTACTACATCAAGTTCTGAGACTATATCAAGCACAGTTTCATGTTTACTGGTCATCTGGGCCTCTTTCAGCGATTACACAGTCCTGTTCTTGGCCCTAATGTTTCATCTTAATGTCTTCTACATCATTTTGTAAAGAATGATTTAATAGATGGAACCCAGGTTCTTCATTTAAAATGAATAAAAATTGCGGGGTCACTGGTGGCTCAGGCCTGTAATCTTAGCTACTGAGGAGGCTGCGATTGGAGGATCATGGTTTGAAGCCAGCCCAGGCAGGAAAGTCCATGACTCGTCTCCAATTAACCACCAGAAAACGGGAAGTGCAACTGTGGCTTCAAGTGGTAGAGCACTAACCTTGAGCAAAAAAGCTCAGAGATAGTGCCCAGGCCTGAGTTCAATCCCATGACTGACAAAATAAATAAATAAATATGGACTTTGTTTTCGTTTAAAAGTTGTTTTATTTTATTTTTTTTTAGACGGGGCCTCAGAGTCAGGTTAGCCTGGACTAGAACCCATTATCCTATCTCTGCATTCTGGTTGCTTTTGGGGATTACAGGTGTGTACTACTATGTCCATCAAATACAGAAGCTCTTAAATACAGTTTTAGCTGCAAATTTTAGTTTTCTCTTTTCAAATAATTACACATACTATTTCATTTTTGTCCCTAATGTACTTGTCATTTTAAGGCTATGTTGAATAGTAATGGTGATGGAAAACATCTAGTTCCTGATTTTAACAAAAATTATTTTAGTGTTTCATCATTTAAGTAATTATTCCTTTTTTCTCCTCGGGCTAGGGGTTAAACCCAGCACCTCACGCTAGGCTACAACTCCCAGACCTTTTGGTTTTGTTTTTGAGATAGTCTCACTTACCTTGCCTAAGTTTGCCTCAGACTTGCAATCCTCCTGTCTCTACTTCCAACGTAGCTGAGATGATAGATTTCTAATTCCACTCCTGGTTAATTTTTCTTTTTTCAATGCTGGAGACTGAACCCATGGACTTGGTTATGCTAGGCAAGCATTCTTACCACTTGAACTATGTGCTTAGTATGTGTTAGTGTTGAATAAGAGCTGTTTATTGTATTTGAATAATTTCTATAAAACTATTTTTTGTTGGTATATTAATTGGGATTATCTACTGCATCTTATGAAATGTCTCATCTAGATCATGATTTTTCTTCTGCCTTTAATTCATTAATGTCAAGGACTATGCTAAGCAATCAGAATATCAAAACATCTATGCATGTACAGAACACATCTTATCCAGTTGGATACATTCTTTGGCTATGCTGATGAAAGCCCTACACTGACATTTTAAAGTTTATTATTTGTCTACTTACTTTGTACTAGTTCTGGGACTTGAACTCAGTGCTTGAGTACAGTCCTTGAGATTTTCTTTGAGCTTTTTTGCGCAAGGCTAGTGCCCTACACTTGAGGCACAGCTCCACTTCAGCTTTTTGGTAGTTAATTGGAGATAAAAGTCTCACAGATTTTACTGCCCCAGCTGGTTTCAAACCATTATCCTCAGATCTTAGTCTCCTGAGTAGCTAGGGATACAGGTGTGAGCCACTGGTACCCTGGCTCTATTTGTTTATTAAGTAGTTGTACAAAAGGGGTTCAATTCCAGAAGTCAACTTTTGAGTACTCTGTGATAGTTTAATTTTGAAACTATGCATTATATTCCTAGGGAAGTCAGCCTTTGTTTTTGATCTATCTATCTATCTATCTATCTATCTATCTATCTATCTATCTATCTATCTATCTATCTATCTATCTATCTATCTATCTATCTATCTATCTGTCTATCTATCTTTGTGTGTGTGTGTGTGTGTGACAGTCCGGGGGCTTAAACTCCTAGGTTGAGATGCTGTCCTGAGCTTTTTTTTGCTTAAGGCTAGCTCTCTATCATTTGAGCCAGTTAAGCTTCAGTTCTGGCTTTTTTGGGTGATTAATTGGAGATAAGAGTCTTACTGACCTTTCTGCCTGGGCTAGCTTTGCACTGTGATCCTCAGGTCTCAGCCCCCTGGATAGCTAGGAGTACAAGTGTGAGCTACTAGCACCTGGCTATAATTTTTTATTTTAAAGTTACATAAGCTTTATAAAAAAAAAAAACAAAAACTGGGCTGGGAAGGTGGTTCCCTGGTACAATACTTGCCTTGCATGCATGAGGCCCTGTGTTCGGTTCCTCAGCACCACATAAACAAAAAGAAAAAAGCCGGAAGTGGCGCTGTGTCTCAAGTGGTAGAGCGCTAGCCTTGAGCTGAAGAGCTGAGGGATAGTGCCCAGGCCCAGAGTTCAGGCCCCACGACCGGACTCCCTGCCCCCCCAAAAAAAATCCCAAAAACTTTCCCTTCTTTTCTATTATCTAAAGTAACTTAAATAACACTATATTATGCAGAACTCAGCTGAAATTTCATTGATTTTTTTAAGTTGTAGTAATCTACACATATCATAAAATATGAAATCAATTGCCACATTTTTTTTTCATTTTGTAAAACTGAGACTCTAAATCCATTAAAGAACTCTTTATTTCCCTTTCCAAAGGCCCTGGTAGCATCATTTAACTTTCTATCTCTCTGAATTAATTGCACAATTCAATATTTGTCCTTTCGTGACTGTTTTATTTCACTTAGCATAATTTTCTCAAGGTCTAAACCCCAAAAACAAAAACATGAAGAAAACCCTAAGCAATTTTAAACGACAACTGTTGTTCTTGCTACCTTGTCAATGTTATGGCACAAATGTACCTTGAGTTCCTGAACCAGCTGGTTCCTTTTATCTTTGAGAGTCTTTATCTCTTTCTCATCCCAGCACCTAGCCTTCTGTCGTAAGTCACTTGATCCTCCAGAGATCACCCCAGACTTTAAAAACAGAGTTCCATCAAGGGCTACTGTCTGTAAAATTAAAAAGTGTTTTACCATTGAGAAATATACATAAGGTATACAAAAATAAGAACCTAACATGACAATTTCTACAGCTGAGAATTTGTAGATGAGAAAACACTTATTGAGTTTTACTAATGAAAGATCTAGCTTATGAAGAAACATAAATGACCAAACTACAGATACAACTCTCATTTTATTAACACCCAAAGAAACTCTAGGCAACAAAATTGGCATCAATAACAAAGGCTTCAAACAAGTTATATAACAGTTTCAAACAAATGGAATATTGAGAATTAAAAGTCAATGATACAGGGGCTGGGAAGGTGGCTCAGTGGTAGAGCGCTTGCCTTGCATGCCTGAGGCCCTGGGTTCGATTCCTCAGCACCACATAAGCAAAAAGAAAAAAAGCCAGAAGTGGCGCTGTGGCTTAGGTGGTAGAGCGCTAGCCTTGAGCTGAAGAGCTGAGGGATAGTGCCTAGGCCCAGAGTTCAGGCCCCACGACCGGACCCCAAAAAAAAATAAAAACAAAAAAGTCAATGATGCATTTGGTATCAAATAGTTGGTATTACAGAATCGCATAAAAAATCTGGCATAGCTGTCAGTGGGATATGATGGAAAGGGCCTTATTAACTGTAGGATACTCAAAATACCACATTCTCCAAATGAATGTTAACACTAATGAGATAAAGAAAAACATTTAAGTGGAGCTGAAGTATAAAACAGCCTAGGGTTTCAACTCATTTAAATATGTCTATGTTTTATACAATAAATGAAATCTATTTTCAACATTTTACAAATCTTTCTAGTTAATTAAAGCAAGAGATCACCGGTGACAGACTAAAATTCTATCAGTGATCTGACAAAAACAAATCCAACAAATATTCTCCTTTCTTCCTCCCTCTTTCCTTTTAATTTTTCTTTTTTTGGGGGGTCTGGTCGTGGGGCCAGAACTCTGGGCCTGGGTACTGTCCCTCAGCTCTTCAGCTCTACCACTTGAGCCACAGTGCCACTTCCAGCTTTATTCTTTTTGCTTATGTGGTGCTGAGGAACCAAACCCAGGGCCTCATGCATGCAAGGCAAGCGCTCTACCACTGAGCCACCTTCCCAGGCTTCCTTTTTAAATTTTCAACACTGGAGTTTGAATTCAAGGTCCTACACTTGCTAAGTGAGCTTTCTACCACTTGAGGCACTCTGTCAGTTCCTTTGTGTTTATTATTTTCAAGATAGGGTCTCCTTTCATGCTCAGAAAATATAAAGGGAGCCGGGCGCTGGTGGCTCACGCCTGTAATCCTAGCTACTCAGGAGGCTGAGATCTTCCAGCCCGGGCAGGAGAGACCGTGAGACTCCTATCTCCAATAAACCACCATGAAACTGGAAGTGGCGCTGTAGCTCAAGTGGTAGAGCGCTAGCCTTGAGCTGAAGAGCTGAGGGACAGTGCCCAGGCCCAGAGTTCAAGCCCCACGACCGACCAAAAAAAAAAAAAGAAAAGAAAATATAAAGGGGCTGGGATCCTATTGTACTCCGCTTTTTCTCAGGGATGACAGGTGTGAGGGAGTCACAAGAACTTTTATGCCAAGGCTGGCTTCTAACCACCAGCCTCTAATCTCTGCCTCTCAAGTAGCCAAGATTAAACTACCACAGCCTTTTATTTCTTCTTTGAAGACATTCTCTACATGCTTCTGTGTACTAAGACATCTGCCCAAGGGACGGGAGCTAGTAAAATATAGTGCTGGGATACAGGGATGCATGACAAATAACAGATAAACTTGGCCTCACTCTGAGAAATCTGGAAGCAAGAAATTATTTTTAACTGAATACATTTTGGAAATTGCCATAATTACATAATGTGGAGTTTTCTACTGTATGTGCTTTTTATTTTTATTTTGCTAGTCTTACACAAATGCCTAGGTTAGTTCTACTATACCCAATGGTTCAATCTCTAGGCCTTGCACACATATCATTTCATATGATTAAGTTTGCCTATATGCTAAGTCCCCATAGAGTATAACTAGTAAACATGCCCTTCACAGAGCCAGTGAGCATAAAATGTCCACACAATGTCCACACTTTAGATGGTTGCTATTCTGACAAGGAAACATAATACCTAAGAATAGTGTTGACAAGCATTGCTCATATTATGATTAAGGTTGATTTTTTGTGTTTAAGAGCTATTATATTTCTTTGGATAAGAACAAGTTTGTTCATAATCTGTCCAGTTTCTCACCATATTATTATTCTACCTATTGGTTTACAGGAACATTTGCTCTTTACCGTGAGTTGCAAAAACTTCCCCCGGTTTGCAATTTGTTTTTATAGGTTTTCGTTGTTTTGCTGTGCAGGGTCTCATGCATCCTAGGTAAAACTAACTAAGTTCTAGATTGGTTTTCCTTATAAAGAGAACATATGAAACATATATAAATGTGAGTGTGTGTATTTATTTAAACAAGAAAGCAGGGGAGGGAAGGGAAGAAGGGAACACCTTGTAAATACTGCTTGGATTTCTCTAAAAAGCCATCCAAATTCTTTCTTACTTTCCGTCTCTCAGGTCCGCCAAATGCAATGTGTCTTGCTTCCTCCACAGTTTCACAGACCAGGCCATTTCCACATACAAACTGAATCACTTTCTTCAGCTGAGGAATGTGAGTCTTTATAACATCAACCATCATTTTGCAGCCTTTAAGCTCTCTTAGTCTTTCATTAATTGGCTTGATCTAAAAGGTTTAGAAATACTTGGTATATTAGTTATGATAAAAACCAATTGCTGCCAGGTGCTGGTGGCTCACGCCTGTAATCCTAGTTACTCAGGAGGCTGAGATCCGAGGAGTTTCAAAGCCTGTGGGACAGGAAGGTCCATGAGACTCTTATCTCCAATTAATTACCAGAAATCCAGGAGTGGAGCTTGGCACAAAAGCCCAGGGACAGTGCCCAAGCCCTGAGGTTCAACCCCCACAACTGATAAAAAGAAAATCCCAAATGCTCAATTGTTTTTTTCTCACAGAACATAGGCATGACAGCCAAGATGAACAGTGTGCATCTATCTGCAACAAGTTTGACAAGAACATGATAAACTATACCCCAGGCTGACTGAGAGACAGAGTATTTTTTTTGTTGTTGTTGGTGGTCATGGGGCTTGAAGTCTGGACTTGGGTGCTGTCCCTCAGCTCTTCAGCTCAAGGCAAGTGCTCTACCGCGCGTAAGCCACAGTGCCACTTCCGTTTTTCTGGTGGTTTATTGGAGATAAGAGCCTCACGGATGTTCCTGCCATGGCTGGCTTTGAACTGCAATCCTCAGATCTCAGCCTCCTCAGTAGATAGGATTACAGGCGTGAGCCACCGGCGCCTGGCTCAGAGTATTTTTTAAAATACAAAAACTTCATAAAAAACCAGAGGATACAACCTCCAGATTCAACCATGTTCCAAGTACATGGGACAGAACAATGCATAAATGCTCCTGTGTTCTCCTGATCATCTCCTGTGGCAAAACACAATACCCACCCAGATGCATATATGAAGAACAGTATAACACTACAGAGCCTGAAAACCACTGAAGGCTCATATCCTCAGGAAAGCCTTCAGACCTTCAGGCTGACTTTCAGGCCTGGTCTGTTAAGAAAAACAAAAACAAACAAAAAACCCTCTGTGAATCTAGCACTATAGCACAAGCCTTTAATCCTAGCTACTTGGGAGGCAGAGATCAGATCACAGTTTAAGACCAGCCCAAGCACAGAAGTTCACAAGACTATCTCAACCAGTGTTATGTATTTCTTAATCCAGCAATAAGGAGAAACAAATAGGATGATTGTAGCCCAAGTAACCTGGGCATAAGGCAAGACCCTATCTTGAAAATAACCAATGGAAAAAGGGACTGGTAGAGTGGCTCAAATGCTACAGCACCTGCCTAGTAAGGCAAGGCTCTGAATTCAACACTCAGTACTACAAGAAATTACTACAAGCCGGGCACCTGTGGCTCACACCTGTCATCCTAGCTACTCAGGAGGCTGAGATCTGAGGATGGTGGTTCAAAGCCAGCCCAGGCAGGAAAGTCCATGACACTCTTAGCTCCAATAAACCACCAGAAAACCAGTAGTGGCGCTGTGGCTCAAGTGGTAGAGTGCTCACCTTGAGCTGAAGAGCTGAGGGACAGTGCCCAGGCCCAGAGTTCAAGCCCCATGACCAACCCAAAAAAAATGATCTACAATAAAACCAGCAAAGATGATGTAATATTTGTTAAACCAAGCAAAGCAAAAAAACCCATAAAATGTGCACATACATGTGTATGTAAACTAAGTACATAGAAAAGCAATCTGAAGTAATTACTATTAAAGAACTGGACACTGAGAAGGGGTACAAGTATTCCTTTTATATTTAAACATACTTCTGTATAAGATTAAGAAGTGACTTTGAAGCTGGGTGCTGGTGGCCCACACCTGTAGTTCTAGCTACTCAGAAGGCTGAGATCTGAGGACAGAGGTTCAAAGCCAGCCTGGCCAGGAAAGTCTGTGAGACTCTTATCTCTAAGGCACCAAAAAAAGCTGAAGTGGAGCTGCAGCTCAAGTGGTAGAGCTCAGCTGAAGTGGAGCTGCAGCTCAAGTGGTAGAGCTCAGCTGAAGTGGAGCTGCAGCTCAAGTGGTAGAGCTCAGAGGCAGCACCCAGGACCTGAATCCAAGTTCCAGGACTGCCATACACACACAAAGTAATTTTTAAGTAAGTTTGCCCTGCAAAATCTCATGTGAGGCGTAAGTAAAAGATTTCACAGTCAGGCCGGGCGCCGGTGGCTCACGCTTGTAAATCCTAGCTACTCAGGAGGCTGAGATCTGAGGATCACGGTTCAAAGCCAGCCCGGGCAGGAACATCCTTGAGACTCTTATTTCCAATAAACCACTAGAAAATTAGAAGTGGCGCTGTGGCTCAAGCGGTAGAGCGCTCACCCTGAGCTGAAGAGTGCAGGGACAGCGCCCAGGCCCAGAGTTCAAGCCCCACGACCGACCAAAAAACAACCCAAAAAGATTTCACAGTCAGTTAAAGTAAGGCAACAAGTCTTGGTGGGCCCTTCATGGCACAGTGTGGAAGCACAAAGGCAGGACTGGCTCGCGTTTGCTGAGCCGTTCCTCCAGATAGGTGCTGTGCCGTGCTTCTTCCAAACCATCCAATAAGGTGAGGACTTATTCCTTTACTTCACAAAGAACCTAAGGCTAAGATGAAAACCTGACAAATCAACTGGTATGGCTACTTAGCAGTAGGGCTGGTATTCAGTAGCCGAGAGTACCCTTCTTCTCACACCCTCTGCCTGCAGTTCAGAGGTGTGACTGATGGAGGAAAGAGAGCCTCTGCTTCAGGAGACCATGAGAGGTGTCTGGAGGCTGTCATCCTATGACAAAGTTCTTGGGTCAAGAACTGACGTTCTGGATATACTAAGGGATCTCAAAACAGACCTCAAGCCTTAAAATCTAACCTGTATCAATGAAATCAAAGACATCAGGGAGGATTATAGCAAAATTCGATTATCAAGAAAAGACCTGCTCCAGGAAAGAGCAGCCACTTGTTAACAGTCTCCACATGCTAATGCAGTAACACTAGCCTTAGTTGTAACTTGGCTGTCATCCACGCTACATTCCCCCTCTTCCATAGCTACCATAGTTTTAAGCAATAAAGATGTACTTAAACAGACAAGAGTTGATCACTACTGAAGACCAAACATAAATTTCTTACATCAAGGTAATCGAGAGCGAGGAATGTCTCAGGTTCTGCTCTCTCCTCCTTCAGAAATCGAATACAATCCCTTGCTACCTTTTCAGAAGTGACGATTATGGCAACCATGTACCGGCCAAAAACCTTAGTCACTGCCAGCTGGTATTTCTTATGAATAGGATGACACAGGTCAAGCAGTCTTCCAAACTTAGCAGGTTTTTCAAAAAAGACAGGAAAATCAATATATTAGTAAGGAACAAACAATTCACTGCTATGGTACCAAAGCAGCATAGACAAAACTAATTTTTAAAAATTACATCTATCATTTAATACAAATTCACTCAAATCTACCTAAATTTCATTATTAAATACTCATTATAAAAAAAAGTATTAGTGGTGGAGGATTGGCACAAGTGGTAGAATGTTTGCCTAGCATGTCCCAGGCCCTGAGTGCAAATCTCAGAAAGGTGAAAAAACCTAAAACAGAAAACATTATTAAATGAATTTTAGTAAAGTATTAAAATATGTTATAAAACTAAAGTAACTCATATTTATTATTTTGCTTATTAATCAGACAGCACTTATGAACCCCCTGTTGTGTGCAGGAATTGAGTTGGATACTGCTGAGCTAACCTCCTGGGACCTCAGAGAAAGGATGCAGAGACTCACTGTCCTTACGAATATCATAAGATATGAGGGACAGCTGGACGCTGGCCAAGTGCAGAGGGCTCTGCAGGGCCAGGCTGGTTAGGAAACGGCTCCCACACATGCCATTTGCACAGCTCTAAGAGTGGTCAAGAGATCACTGAAGACACCCATTTTCAGAAGACACCTGATTATCGGCATCCTGAATAAACAGCTCCTAGAATTTGTGATCATGACATTTCCCATCTTTGGGCTCTTCCTTCCATTTGTTGGTTTTACTTCAGGCATATCAGTTTCATGACAGATTTTTACTGTCTTTAATATGTATTCTCTTTGCTCTCTGTTTAATTATTATTTCAGCCTCTTAAGCCAGTAATTTGTCTTTCAGCTGTTTGATCCTTTCCTTGATATTGCTAATTTATTTGCTATTTTTAATTAAATGTTAATTTTGTGTATGTGTGAAAAGAGAGGGAGAGAGGGGGGAGAAGGAAGAGAGAGGGACAGAGAGAGAAGAGAGAAAGAAAAGAGAGAGAGCACCTCTGAGGGCTTAATTTGGGGTCTTGGGCACTGTCCCAGAGTTGGTTTTGCTCCAGTCTAGCACTCTAACACTTGAGCCACAACTCTACACCACTTTTTTGGTGCTTAATTGGAAATAGTCTCATGGCTTTCCTGCTTGGGATGGCAACTAGATTATGTTCTTTGACTCTGAAATCCCCCCTTGCTCTTTGTTATTATTGTAGATGCTCCTTGCAGATGCTTCACTGGTCCGAAATTCCTTCCTCCCACAGGTGATGGAATCTGCATCTCCTGTCCTACACACCGTCCTAACTTAAGGGCTTGTAAGCCAGGGGTATGTGAGGGTTAGGTGATGCTTTGCAAGAATATACTTTGCTTGAATATCTAGGCTTTTTTTTTTTTTTTGCCAGTTATGGGGCTTAAACTCGGGACCTGGGTACTGTCCCTGAGCTTCTTTTGTTCAAGGCTAGCATTCTGCCACTTGAGCCATAGTGCCACATTTGGCTTTTTGTTTATGTGGTACTGAGGAATCGAACCCAGGGCTTCATGCATGCTGGGCAAGCGCTCTACCACTGAGCCACATTCCCAACCCTCTTCTGAGTTTTTAACTAGCACTTTATACCAATATTCTCTCTTGCACAGGATCAAATGGCATCTCAACACATTAGGCCTCCTGGAGTTGTCTCTTCCATCAGAGAACATTTGAAGTTTACAGTTCCTGGTTCACTAGTATTTAAATCTAAGACTCTACAATTAGAAAAAGAAAAGGAATGACTAAGTGAGGAAATACTAGATGAAAGGAAATGCTTGGGGCTGGGAAGGAGGCTCAGTGGTAGAGTGCTTGCCTTGCATGCATGAGGCCCTGGGTTCCATTCCTCAGCACCACATAAGCAAAAAGAAAAAAGCCAGAAGTGGCTCTGTGGCTCAAGTGGTAGAGCGCTAGCCTTGAGCTGAAGAGCTGAGGGACAGCGCCCAGGCCCAGAGTTCAGGCCCCATGACCGGACCCCCCCCCAAAAAATAATAAGTCTAGATCATCTAATCAGATCAATTAATCATAAGCTTAGTATTTGGGAAATGCCATGAAAAATTCTTAGGAGTAGAATATCTAGGTTATCAGTATCCCAAGGAAATTTAAGTTCCACTGTAACAAATCTATGTACTCAAAACTATGTACTCAAAACTTAACTATTCTATTATGTGGTTAAGAATAATGTTCAACAGTCTAAAGGGAAGTAATAAACAACAGAGTGGGCGCATGCATCTGCTGTACAGAAAGCTGCAGGATTCTACCTACATGCATGACTTTGTATACTCCTCCAATTTCTCTATTCGTTTTTTATGATCTTCTATTTGTTCTTTTATTTGCTTCAGATTTCCCTAGAATAAATAATAAAACCTAAAATCAGTCACATCAATTCTAAACCATAAAATTACATGCTTAGAACTTCTTATATCATAAGCTTTTACAAATTTGAAGTATATATTTTTGAGAACAAACTTGAAAAGATAAACTGGCTAAAATCCTCACTCCTCCAATTGTTAACTATGTGATCTCCAGGGTGTGAATATGGGATCTCTGGTAAATTCAAACTCAAAGTAGATTATTTCCAAATACCTGTAACAGTTCTTATCTGTACTCCAAGCTAATTTACTTAATCGACATTCATTCAAGTGGCTAGCATACGGCAGGAGCGAGAGACATAATAGAGACGCTCGTCCTTACGTCCTTATGCTCCTCTGGACAGATTAACCGGGGTAATCAGACAACTCAGGCGCCAGGAATTCCGGATTTGAGATCCAGGCTGATTATGCTAACTGTTTGGGAAAATCAACTGTGGGCCATCTCTAGAGGTCACAGAACCTGTGAGACAGTCACAAGACTGTCTTCATCCCTCTTTACCCTGTCTTGTTATTGCTTGTCATATTCAAAAGACAAAAGCAATTCAACAACACTTTTGACTTCTAATAGGTGCAATTATGACTTCTGCCTGGTAGAGCAGTATCAATTTATGGCAGTTGTTGTGCAATTTGTTAAGAGCCCTTGGATAGATGCAGATTAAGAACATGGAATAATTTAACAAGTTTTTTTTTTGGTAAGAACATGGAATAATTGTAGATGGAAGTAAGTACTGTTTTCTGGAGGTTGGGGAGGGAGAAAAGGGAAGGCTTGATGGTATAGAAACTATAGAATTTAATGTATAAAAATAAGCGAACTATTTAAAAAAGGAAACTAGCATTCACAAAGACAAAAACGTAGTATGTATTTTCAGAACTCAATGTATGTTTTGATAATGTGGTACAAATTACACAATTAAATGCTTTTAATCTCTGCTGTCACACCTTTATTTTCCCTTTTTATAAGATGCCATTGTCTTCTCAGACAACTCTCATATATTATACCTTTTATATTTATTTGGTTTCACCTGACAGAGCAAAAAGAACAAAATGAAATAGAATATGTTGAAGATTCATTTTGCAAACCAAGTTTGAAAGCAAATCCTAGTTTCTCCGCTTAACAGCTTATTCAAATAACGCAATCTTCTCATGCTTTGCTTAGATCAGTAAAATATGTTAATTCAACATTATGCACTGAGATCCATAAGTGAACAAAAACCAACAATGCTGGCTTTGTGGCATTTACTCTCTAGAAGGTAAGCAAGCTCAGTGTGATGTGAGATGGTAGAGAAGCAAGGAAGGAGAACAGAGAGCAGTTGGGGACAGCTTTAAATCATGGGGGCAGGACAGCTTCACTGAGAAGAAGGTAACGCTTGAGTGCAGACTTGCAGGAAGCAAGGGAGTTAAAAATGAAGAAATACAGCAGAGGAACAGCAGTGCAAAGTCCTTCAGACAGAAACATTTCTGCTATGTTCCAAAGATCAGTACAATCAGATCACAAGAAAAAGGAGTTCAGGGGTACATGGAGATTGGAGGGGTGAGCAGGTGAAGTAGCTCAATGGAAGCCATTTTATAGACTTTGGCCTAAAGCTTTATGTGTACTTTAAAAAGTATCTTAGGGGCTGGGAAGGTGGCTTAGCAGTAGAATGCTTGCCTAGCATGCATGAAGCCCTAGGTATGATTCCTCAGTACCACACAAACAGAAAAAGCCAGAAGTGATGCTGTGGATCAGGGACAGAGCCCAGGCTCTGAGTTCAAGCCCTAGGATCAGCAAAACAATAAATAAATAATAACTAAAAAGTATCTTAGATAGTGAAGGCATCACTGTGGATAATACATTCAGACTACTAAAAGTCAAGTGAGGAAATAAAGAAACCTGGTAGGCAGCTTGGCACTAATGCCTCACATCTGTAATCCCAGCTACTCAGGAGGCTGAAATCTAAGGACTGTGGTTCAAAGACAGCCTGGCAGACAAACCTGAGAGACTCTTATCTCTAACTAACAATATTAGCACAAAAAGAAAAGAGTCACAAAGCATTAACAGGGAGTGATTAAGTGGGCTCTAATGGCTCACACCTCTATTTTTAGTTACTCAGAGGCTGAGATCCAGAGGACTGCAGTTCAAAGCCAGACAAGGTGGAAAAGTACTCAAAACCTCATCTCCAAAATAACCAGCAAAAAGTAAGATTGGACCCTTGGGCATCTGCTTAGAACATTACAAGTCAGGATATGGTAAAAACACTCGAATATCCATGTTAATTGCTGTGCTATTCACAATAGCCAAGCCATAGGATCAGCCTAGATGCCGCACAACAAATGAGTGGCTCAAGAAAATGTGGTATGTACACACGACGAAATTTGACTCATCCATTAGAAAGAATACCATGTCACTTGCAGGGAAATGATGGACCTAGAACAAATCATGTTAAGTGAGGTAGTTATAAGACAAAAGTTTTCTCTCATAGGAAGCTAGATCTAAAATACAACTGAACATGGTAACTTTTTTTGTTTTTTGTTTTTGGTTGGTCGTGGGGCTTGAACTCTGGGCTTGGGCGCTGTCCTTGTGCTCTTAAGCTCAAGGCGAGCGCTCTACCACTTGAGCCACAGCGCCACTTCCTGAACATGACAACTTACACATGACTCTAGGCATTCATATACAGTGAGACTAAATAAAGGAGGACACTCTTAGGGGAAGAGCCTGAAGGCATAACTCCTCTGAAAAAAAATTTTTTTTTTTGGGTCCAGTCGTGGGGCCCGAACTCTGGGCCTGGGAGCTGTCCCTCAGCTCTTCAGCTCAAGGCTGGTGCTCTACCACTTGATCCACAGTGCCACTTCGGCTTTTTTCTTTTTGTTTATGTGGTACTAAGGAATCGAACCCAGAGCCTCAGGTATGCAAGGCAAGCACTCTACCACTGAGCTACCTTCCCAGCCCCTCCTCTGAACATTTTAAATATCACTTATCAAAATGAGTTCCAGGAAAATGGAAACATGGCTTTTAGTCATTTTTGCTTTGTTAAAAATCTTTTTATGGGAGTGCAGAAATGGAAGGAGGAAGGATGAACTAATCCAGTCATGGTATTCAGTATACAGCATGTTGAAAATAAGCTATGCAACTTGTGGGCAGGGACAGGACAAGGAAACTGAGAGAAGTAAAGTAGTAACAATGTCCAAAAGAACTGCGTTCATTACCTGACTTATGAAATGGTAACCTCTGTGTACAACATCTTAACAATAATAGTAAAATTGTATTTTTAAAAAGGAGGGCTGGAGGCATGCTACAGTGGTAGAATGCCTGCCTAGCAACCTTTGTGATCTTCTTCCTTTTTTTCTCTTCCAACTATGCAAAAACATCTAAGTGAAAACACTAAACAGCTCAAGAGAGATCCAGAATTTTTTTCTAGTGCTGGGATCAAACCCAGGGTCTTAGAACTTTACCACTAAGCTATGTCCCCAAACCCTCAGATTTTGAAAAATTACGTATGCTCAATGTAAATCCTTTTATATTGAAAAATAAAAGGAAATAAAATTTCATTGAGAATAATTCTAAATCAATGCAGCCCATATTACCTCAACTTCTCCATGCCGTCTCTTTTCGAATGCCAGTCTTTCTTTTTCTGTCTTCTGTTCCCACTGTAGTTTTTCCAACTGTTGTGTCATTATAGCTACTTTCTTTCTTACTTGCTCCTTTAGTTCTTTGTAACAATCCAGCTGTATAAACAGCATTGAAACATTGCTAGCTCACTTAAGCAGGATAAAATATTCTTTGAATGATATTCTGTACTAACAGATACTTATCAAAATCTTATTTTATATAAATGAGATCATAAGTACCATCTTCTCCAGGTGAAATACAAGAACATACTATGAAAGTCTTCATATTTTATATTTGTGTCAGTACTAGGGCTTGAACTCAGAGCCTGAGCACTGTCCTTTTTCTTTTTTTTTTGCTCAAGAATGGTGCTCCACCACTTGAGCCACAGCTCCACTTCTGAAAGCCTTCCTCTTTAAAACTCCTTAGATAAATATGAGATATTCAAAATAGACTCTATAACAGGGCCTCCATTAGAAAATCTTAAGAGGGAAAGGGGAAGCTCCCAGCGGTGGCCCACACCGGTAAGTCCTAGTCCTTGGACGCTGAAGTAAAAGGACTGCCGGTCTGAGGCCAGTCTGGATTACAGTGAGTTCAGTCAGCCAGGGTACACAGTTAGACCCTAACTCAGAAAAACAAAAAACAACTCAAACTTTAATGAGAGATGTTTGAAAACTCTCAGTTATCTATTTTTGGATATCTACTATTGATTATAACTAAAATTTGCACATGTTCTAAGCTGTATATTGACTCCTGTTTCTTCAATACTGTGTTTGAACTCAGGGCCTCAAACTTGCCGGAACGTACTTCACGGCTTCCATCAACACCTCTGACCCTTTACGCTTGGAGCTCCTTTTCAGATAAGGCCTCTCAGGACAGCCTCAGACCAAGATCCTTCTACCTGTGCCTCTCGCCTAAACTGGGATTACAGAGAAGAATCAAATCACCACATCCACATGGAACTTTTTGCCAGGGCTGGCCTGGAATGGTGATCTTGCTCGCTCCCTCCCAAGCTCTGAGATTACAGATGCTCACTACTATGCTCAAACCCCATCACTCAACATCTTAAATCACTTTAAATAATCAGTTTCTCTACCAATTAAATGACTTTAAAGCCATATCTATATGACTTTTAAGTTTTTATAGTATCATGAGAAAAGTTTCACCTTAAAAAATTACTTAAATACCTAAGTTATATTATAATGTTATACCAGGTAATATTGCTTTTAGAACTTGAACTCATAAATCTTATTTTGTCACTTATATAAAAATGGTTTAATCTAAACATTAAAGTTAGAGTCTGTATGCACATCAAAACAATCTTAATACCCATAATTTACATTCTGAGGATAATCTCTTAAAGTATCAGAGATACTTCATTTTTTTTCTAATTAAGAGCTACAAACAGTAGAAAATATTCCCCATCTTCTGCATTTTCACCTGACTAGCTTCCAGCTCAATGTCTTCTTTATGTAAGATTTTTTCTTCAACCTGCTTCTCAAAAAGTTTCCATGTGTTATCTAAATCAATCAGTTCTTTCTCCAGGACTCTTATGTCACCTTCTTGTTTAGAACATTGTTTGTCACCATCCTTTATTGTTTTCTTATATTCTTCCAATTTCTTGAGGTGGTGAGAAGTGTTTTCTTTAGCCTTAATATACTGAGGCCTCTTCACATTTAAAAGTGTATCAATAGACCTAGAAAGGAAATAAAGCTTGCTTTAAAGAAAATTATTATTATTATTTTTTTTTGTTGGTCATGAGGCTTGAACTCTAGGTCTGGGTGCTGTCCCTCAGCTCTTCAGCTCAAAGCTAGCACTCTACCACTTGAACCACAGTTCCACTTCTGGTTTTCTTGTGGTTTATTGGAGATGAGAATTTCACGGACTTTCCTGCCCTGGCTGGCTTTGAACTGCAATCCTCAGATCTCAGCCTCCTACTGAGTAGCAAGGATTACAGGCGTGAGCCACCAGCATTTGGCTTGGGCCTGGCTGAAAATTAATTTCTTTATAAGGGAAGATCTTTTAATCAAATCACATCTCATACTAATTTCTTTTTTTTTTCATACTAATTTCTAAAAACTAGCTTTCAGAGGTGGTTAGGCAAGAGTTGGATAGCTGAAGCTTAGGGACATATTTTTTTCCTGCAACTAAACTTACAAATTTGTCAAAACGGGTGATTGTTTAAAACAAGAAAAATGAATGTAAGCAAATTTAAAAAATCGTAATGGAGGGTAAGGGACAGTAGACAGAAAGTGAAATATGCTGAAAGACTATTAAAAATATGTGAAACAACTTCATTAAAGGAGTAGAAGGAAAAGTGCTGGCTAAGACTTTTGAAATCCATGACTTTTAAAACAAGAATTATACATAAGCACTGTACTCTGTAAAACTGCTCCCTGCAGGGGTGTGACTTAATGCCCCATATGGTTTCTGGAACTGTTCTCACTGCTGGAAAGGGAAGTAACAGGAGATAAGTAAGAAAGGATAGAGTACTCCATGTGGGATGGGTAGCAGTGAGGAGACTTCAGTATAAATTCACCATCTTCTGAATACAGTCACAGGTCGACATATACAGAAACATAAAATGCATACAGTAAAAATGTCTATGTACATATGTTTTCTAATTCTGTCAGCTGGGGCTGGGAAGGTGGCTCAGTGGTAGAGCGCTTGCCTTGCATGCCTGAGGCCCTGGGTTCGATTCCTCAGCACCACATAAGCAAAAAAGAAAAAAGCCGGAAGTAGCGCTGTGGCTCAAGTGGTAGAGCGCTAGCCTTGAGCTGAAGAGCTGAGGGACAGCGCCCAGGCCCAGAGTTCAGGCCCCATGACCCGACCCACCAAAAAAAAAACAAAAAAAAAAAAGAATCTAATTCTGTCAGCTGAGACAATCTAATGGTGACAACCGAGGATCAGTGAGTAAACCTAGCATGCAGGTGTTGGTTCCTAATGTTCATTCCAATAGAAGAAGCCAATATTCCTTGGAGAGATCCTAGACCTTGGGCAAGTTCATAAAACTGGACAGGCTAATGTTAAAACTTGCTCTTATAAGAGCATCTTTTAGTGTCAGAAATTAAGTAGAGGAAAAAAAAAAACTTCTACAGTAATGGTGATGTGATAAAGGGATATACTAAGCAAAGAACTCATTGGCCCCTGACCCAACCCGTCTAAGCAATAAAAATAAAAAGCGTATAGTAGAGTATAACCCAAATATAAAATACCTCTAATACAGACAACCGAATGAATACAAAACAGAAGACACAGATCCCCTACACAGAATTACAGACACATTATATAGATACTCTGTCCTAACGCCCACTCCTTGTGGTGTTGGTACAATGACTTCCTTCCAAAGGTTATACATTGAAAATGGGCAGGAAACCTGAACAACACTACCTTGATTAAGTGATAAAGGTTATGACAACAATAACATCATTGTTGATACAATGGGATGAGAACGGCATTTTACTTCTGTGGTCTCTTTCCCCAAAACCTGTACCACCAGTGTGATGATGAGTACACCATTAGACAAAACCCAAATGAGACACATTCTACAAAAAAAAACCTGGACCAATAGTTCTCAAAGATGCCCAGCTCATCAAACCAAGTCTGAGAAACTGTCTCCGTCCAGAAGGGCCCCACAGAGACAGACCAATGTCATGTGGCACTCCGGGTCAGAAAAGGACAGTAGCAAACACTAAGAAAATGTGGACTGAGAGTGGGCTTTGATTGAAAGTGTGTCCCTGGGCCCTGGTGACTCATACCACCTAGCTGCTCAGAGGGCTGAGCGCTGAGGAACACGGGCTGAAGCCAGCCTGGGCAGGGAAGTCTATGAGACTCTTATCTCCACTTAAACACCCTAAAAGCTAGAAGTAGAGCTGTGGTTCAAGTGGTAGAATGGGTGCTAGCCTTGAACAAAGTAAGCTCAGGGATATGCCTTGAGGTTAAGCTCCAGGACCTGCTCACATATATAAGAAGAGATCAATACTCGTTTATTAATTCTGAGAAATGTAGCAGGAGAAAAGGCATAAGGAATTTCAGAACACTGCACTAGTTTTACAATTTTTCTTTATATCTAAAAAGTATTCCAAAATACAAAGTTTATTTTTAAAAAGTCAACTTTCATAGTCTCGTGTCAATGCACGTGAGGCCCACTGTTAACGCTATCCTCACATCTCACTTCACGTGAGGCCCACTGTTAACACTATCCTCACATCTCACTTCACGTGAGGCCCACTGTTAACACTATCCTCACAACTCACTTCACGTGAGGCCCACTGTTAACGCTATCCTCACATCTCACTCAGTCCTTCACACGAGGCCCACTGTTAACACTATCCTCACATCTCACTTCACGTAAGGCCCACTGTTAACACTATCCTCACATCTCACTTCACGTAAGGCCCACTGTTAACACTATCCTCACATCTAACTCGGTCCTTCACGTGAGGCCCACTGTTAACACTATCCTCACATCTCACTTCACGTGAGGCCCACTGTTAACACTATCCTCACATCTAACTCAGTCCTTCACGTGAGGCCCACTGTTAACACTATCCTCACATCTCACTTCAGGTAAGGCCCACTGTTAACACTATCTTCACAACTCACTTCAGTCCTTCACGTGAAGCCCACTGTTAACACTATCCTCACATCTCACTTCACGTGAGGCCCACTGTTAACACTATCCTCACATCTCACTTCACGTAAGGCCCACTGTTAACACTATCTTCACAACTCACTTCAGGTAAGGCCCACTGTTAATACTATCTTCACAACTCACTTCAGTCCTTCACGTGAGGCCCACTGTGAACACTATCCTCACATCTCACTTCACGTAAGGCCCACTGTTAACACTATCCTCACATCTCACTTCACGTAAGGCCCACTGTTAACACTATCTTCACAACTCACTTCAGTCCTTCACGTGAGGCCCACTGTGAACACTATCCTCACATCTCACTTCACGTGAGGCCCACTGTGAACACTATCCTCACATCTCACTTCACGTGAGGCCCACTGTGAACACTATCTTCACAACTCACTTCAGTCCTTTCTCTGTTTGTTGCAGTTGTCTCGACAGCACTCCATGCTCCTTTTTCTTGGCTTTCATTATGTTTTCATGATGACAAAAGGACTCTTTTGTAACACCCAAGTCTCTATTCACACGCTCTAACTCGGTGCTCAGATAATCAATTTTTTTCCCATTGTAGTACAGTTGGAAAAGCTGCAGCTCTATCTTGTGTGCTTTTAGTTCTTCAAGGAGACTCTGGTAGCGTTCTGCCTATGAAATAGTACAATTCAACACAAGTTAACAAGGTACCCATTTCAGCTGACCTTTACCACATATTGATTACTAATGAGTTTTTGTGTATGTTATTAAAAATGATATTTTCCCCAAAATAGCATTTGGAGGTTTCCAGATAGACCAAAATAAGACAGTAACTAGTAAATGACTTGTATTCACTTACTCAGTGACAGAGTGGTTAAAAGGGTGTCACCTGGGGCCTCATCCATTTCCATCTTGACCAGCGAATTTGGCAATCCACTGACATTGTACAAGCTTTGTCATTTGTAAATGTAAAGAAGACTCTTTTATAAGTATAAGACCCCTAACAACTTTAAATTCAACGACTACAGATAAAATACTGGCTATAGCTAATCATTTTATTTGTGCTATGAATAAAGAAATAGTAGGCCAGGTACCAGTGGCTCACACCTATAATCCTAGCTACTCAGGAGACTGAGATCTGAGGATCATGGTTTAAAGCCAGCCCAGGCAGGAAAGTCGGTGAAATTCCAGAAAATGGGAAGTGGTACTGAGGCTCAAGTGGTAGAGCACTAGCCTTGAGCTGAAGAGTTCAGGGACAGCTTCCAGGCTCAGAGTTCAAGCACCATAACTGCCCCCCCCCCAAAAAAAAGCTGAAGTAAAGCTATGGCTCAAGTGGTAGAATACCAGCCCTTGAGCAAAGAAGCTAAGGGACAGTGCCTGGGCCATGAGTTCAAGCCCCAGGACCATCACAGAAAAAGAAAAAAGAAAAGACAGAAAGAGCAGAAAGGGCCACTCAGGAAGAGGTGTTTCAGGTAACCTGCAAGCAGCCATCTGTCAAGGGTGCACTAAAAAGTCCTAAGGAAGCTGGATTACACTAATTACAGGTTTAAAGTTCTACAACCCCATATGATGTTCTCAGTCTGATCCTCACTGCCCCCCACTTCCAATAACAAAACCAGGAACATAGATAAAAAGCAACAGTACTATTACCAATAACACATTCATTTTTTTTCTTCAAATATTTACTGAGTGTCTACTACATGTTAGGCCATGTTCTATGTACTGGAATTTGGTAGAGTAAGACAGACCCATCCCAACTCTTTTACATTTTCTTTTTTTATTGGTTGTGGGACTTGAACTCTAGGCTTGGGCACTGTCCCTGTGCTTTTCAGCTCAAGGCAAGCGCTCTATTGCTTGAGCCACAGCGCCACATCTGGTTTTCTAGTGGTTTATTGGAGATAAGAGTCTCATGGACTTTCCTGCCTGGGCTGGCTTTGGACCGCGATCCTCAGATCTCAGCCTCCTGAGTAGCTAGGATGACAGGCATGAGCTACCAGTGCCTGGCTCATCCAAACTCTTTATAAAGTTTATATTCCAGTTACTGGATCAAAGAGAAACCAGTGAATAATAAATATCAAACACCATTAAATGGAATACAGTATGTGGTAGTACAAGGCAGAAGGTGTTCATTTAGATGGGAGTGTGGATAGCAAATGCCTACCAAAGGGGGCTGGGAAGGTAGATCAGCGGTAGAGTGCATGCCTTGCAAATGCCTACCAAGGAAACGGTTGTGAAAACTCAAATGAGTATCAGCTGTGTGAAAATTAGAAGTGTTTATGAGAATCTAGCAATCTTCTCTAAGCCAGACTTTAGAAGATTATTAAAAATACAAAGCAAAGCAGGATACTGGTGGTTCACACCTGTAATTCTAAATATATGTGAATATCTTTCTCATTAATTTTAAAGAATGAAAATAAATTAGCATGTTCATATGTAACAGTTTGCTATTTTCACATGGTCCATTAAAACATGGGGGTGGGGCTGTGAGGGAATATGGAGGATGAAAGGGGTGATATTGATCAAGATGCATTGTATTTACAAACTGCTTTGCTGAATGACAACTCCTTCCCTCAACCACTTAAAGATAATAAATAAAATTAATATAAATATAATTATTTGGTGCTGGTACTGGGGCTTGAACTCAGGGCCTCGCCCTTGCCCTTGGTTTCTTATAGCACTCTACCACTTGAGCCACACCTCCATTTCTGGCATTCTGCTGGTTAACTGCCCAGGCTGTCTTTGAACTATGACCCTCAGGACCTTAGCCTTCTGAGTAGCTAGGATTATAGGCATGAGCCATCAGAATCCAGCTAACACACACACACACACTTATTTTTCTTTTTTTTTTGCCAGTCCTGGGGCTTTAATTCAGGGCCTGGGTACTGTCCCTGAGCTTCTTTTTGCTCAAGGCTGGCCCTCTACCACTTCAGTCCCAGTGCCACTTCCAGTCTTTTCTATTATGTGGTACTGAGGAATTGAACCCTCAGAGGTTCATGTATTCTAGGCAAGCACTCTACCACTAAACCACATTCCTAGACCTCAATGTATTTTTTAAATGTGAATCAAAACTCTAACACAACAAGTATTGGTAATCGTAATCCACATGAACAAAACCTCTCTGGGGTATTTGATAATTTGTATGTATGCCAGTGTTGGGACTTGAACTCCTGCTTGGCTTCCCCTGTCACCCCCTCAAGGATGGCACTCTACCATTTGAGCCACATCTTCATTATGACTTTTTTTGCTGGTTTAATTGGAGATAAAAATTTCACATACTAAGCCAGGCGCTGGTGTCACAACTGTCATCCTAGCTACTCAGGAGGCTGAGATCTGAGGATCGCAGTTCAAAGCCAGCCCAGACAGGAAAGTCTGTGAAACTCTTATCTCCAATAAACCACTAGAAAACTGGAAGTGGTGCTGTAGCTAAAGTGGCAGAGTGCTCTCCTTGAGCTGAAGAGCTGAGGGATAGCGCCCAGGCCCAGAGTTCAAGCCCCACGACTGACAAAAAAAAAAAAAAAAAACAAATCATCTACTTTTCTACCCAGGTTGGCTTCACACTGTGTTTCTCAGATCTCAGTGTCCTGAGGAATTTGGATTACAGCTGTGCGCCATGCCAGCTCCTGCAACCCTGATTTTTAAATGAATTCAAGATACAAATGCTTGAGTGTATTTGCTGTGTAATGCTAGTCATCTGATCTGGGAAGAAAAGCTCAAATGGTGGGAGATAAATCAACAGGCTTATTGTTACCAGGTGCTGGTAGCCTGGTGTAAGCCTAGCTTACTGGAGACTGAGAGCTGGAGGATCTGGCCCAAAGCAGCAGCCCAGGTAGAACTGTCTGACAGATTACATTTCCAAAGTAACCAGCACAAAAGCAGGACTGGAAGTACGGTTTAAGTTGTAATGTGCTAGCTTAGCAATGGCTAGATCTTGAGTTCAAACCCAATTAACATGCCACCCAAATAAAAGATTATCTTTAAGGAATATCTTGTTGTTTTTTTTTTAAGTGAATCTTTGGTAGCTTGAAGGAAGTATCTAGTAATTTTAAGAGATGGCTTTTGTGTCTAATACTTACTGGCTACCTCTTTGGGATACTTTACCTCATCTTTCTCTAATTTTGCCTGCTTACGCTCTGCAGCCACACTTTTTTTCTTATTAAAATTAAACTGTGCATCTTCTTCAGCTTTTAGTAACTTCTTTTTCTTTTCCTCATATTCGCCTATAAGTTCTCCTGAAGTGCTGATTTCCTCAAAAAACTGGGTTCTTTCTTTGGGTTTTTTCATGGAAATCAACTCTACAGTTCCCTATTAAAAACAGTAAAGCAAAGGAACATGTAAAACACAGTGTGTTGCTCAAAACCATGAATTAAACTGCTACAGTGACTTACCTGAAAAACTAAACAGTTCTGTGCTTTGACTATTATACCTATCTTTTCTAGCTCTGCGACATAAGCAGAACGACTCACAAGATTATCATTAAAATAAAATTCTGAGCATCCTCCTGAAATTAAAAAAAATAAAGACTGTTATAGAATATTTTCTTATTGCAATAGCCAGCTATGCAACGATGTGATTAATAAATGTTTAATCAATCAACAAAAGCACCAAGAGCATATTGTATGCCAAAGACTATTTTTGTGGTAGTTTAACAAATGAAAAGTCTCTCATCTCAAAGAGCTTATAAATGAACATGACATATACAAGTAAAATTAAGCATGAGAGAAAGCAATGTGCTAAAGAGTAAACAAACAAGCTGAAGTGAGGTACTGGTGGCTCATGCCTGTAATCCTAGCTACTCAGGAGGCTGAGATTTGAGGATCTAGGATCAAAACCAGTCCAGGCAGGGAAGTCGATGAGACTCTTATCTCCAGTTAACTAACAAAAATCCAGAGGTAAAGGTATGGCTTAAGTGGTAGAGCACCAGCCTTGAGTGAAAAAGCCAAGTGCACAAGGCCCCCAGTTTAAGCCTCAGTACTGGGGAGTGTATGCACACGTGCACATACATACACACACAGCTGGAAAGGAGAATGAGAGTGTCGACCTGGCAAGGGGAGGCATGATGAATTTAAAGAGGGTGCTCAAGAGAATTCTTACGGAGATGGATTCTTCTGAGTTAAAAATCTACAGGCTGGGTGCTGTGGTACAGTGTAGGCCCAACTCCTTGTGAGGCTGAGACAAGTGGGTCACTGGAGCTCAGGCTGGAGGGCCAGCCTGAGCCACGCAGGGGACTGCTTCTCAAAACACAAACAAGAACTTCCCCAAAGAAAGAAAATTACCACTGAATATGGATGGATGGTAACATGGTAAAGTACTTAAGTTACAGATTATGATACAAGTAAGTATATAGTATTTTTCTTTTCTTTCCTTTGGCAGTACTGGGATTTAAACTTAGGGTCTCAGAGTTGCTTAGCTGGAACTCTGCCACCTGACCATGCCTCCAGCCTGGCTCTTTGCTGGTTATTTTGAAGATGGTATTTTGTAGAGTTGTCTGTTCATACCAGCTTCAAGCCACAATCCTCTAGGTCTCATCCTCCTGGGTAGGATTACAAGCATGAGCCACCAGCATCCCACTAATCAGTATTTCTAAAACTACCCAGGACTGATTTTGGGGAAGTTAATTCAACAGCATTTGTACATTAGAAATGTTCTCTTAGAGTAGAGTGAAAACAAAAACTAAAAACAATAAAGCACACATCTATTTTTAGATGTCCTATAAAATCTTAGCATAGAATACAAATGTTATTCTCAATTTTGTTTATTCTGGAAACATTGGAAATTCATGAATAAAAATACAATTTAAAGGCTGGGCACTGATAGCTCATGCCTGTAATCCTAGCTACTCAGGAGGCTGAGATCTGAGCATCATGGTTAAAGCCAGCCCAGGTAGGAAAGTCTGTGAGACTCTTATCTCCAATAAACCACTAGAAAACTGGAAGTGGCACTGTGGTTCAAACAGTAGAGCGCTGGACTTAAGATGAAGAGCGCAAGGACAGAGCCCAATTTAAAACATTTCACTCAAATTGTTTCTTGATGGTACAGAAAAAAACATGTAAACCAGAAATATGTACACAATTAGTTCAATACTGAAAAAAAAACCCTCAGGAAGAACTTCCCTGACTTCTCTTACAGATGGACTTCCTTTTTCATTCTAACTGAATAACCAGGTACAAAAATGCTATCTGAGCCAGGTGCTGATAGCTCCTGCCTCTGTAATCCTAGCTACTCAGGAGGCTGCGATCAGAGGATCATGGTTCAAAGCCAACTGGGCAGGAAAGTCTGTGATTCTCTCTCCAGCCCAGGAACTGGTGGCTCACATCTATAATTCTAGCCACTTAGAGGAGATTGAGATCTGAGGATCAAAGTTCAAAGCCAGGTCAAGCAGTTAAGTTTGTGAGACTCTTATCTCCAATTAACCCCCAGAAAATGGAAAGTGGAGCTGTGGCTTAAAGTGATAGAGTGCTAGCCCAAGCCCCATGACCAATCAAAAGAGAAAAGAAAAACACTGGCAAGTGGAGCTGTGGGTCAAGTAGTAGAATGCTAGCCTTGAGCAAAAAAGCTCAGGGACAGTGCCCCTGCTCTGAGTTCAAGCCACAAGACTGGCACACACACACACAAAACAACACAACAAAAACAACCAAACAAAAAACTTCCTGAACAAACGAGTGTTTTAATTAGTCTTAGTGAATAGATTGGCATTTGCTTCTGAGAATAAACATATCCACTCGCTATGCTGATAAAACAGTAAGTTATCTTCTCCACCCCACAAAAAGTAGGCAATTAAATGACTCATGATAGCAATTACCTTGAATAATCCTTGAGAATTTCTTCTCTTCTCCATCTTCCTCTACATATACAATTTGTACACTTGCAAAGGAAGAAACAGGTTTTCCAATGTGTGCTCCATGAATAAGTTCCTGAATACTTTTCACTCTTAAATTAACTATTTTCTCTCCCATTACAAAACTAAGTGCATCCATTACATTTGATTTTCCTGGTGAGGAAAGGAGAAAAACATTCATAAAAAGCCATGCCTGGCGCCCAAAAGTAGGCCACTAGTCATCTAATCATCCTGCTGGTCAATGTTCAAAATGTGTAACTAACAAATTCTGGTGGACCACTGGTCTCTTCTCTGCAGTTATGGCTTGATGCAATAAAGAGGTCTATATTTAAGAATCAGACACAGGGATCTAAATTCAAGCTCTCCCATTATTCTAGAGCAAATTATATACCAGACAAATCACTTCTCTACATTTCAGTGATTCCCATTTCCAAGTATGGGATTTGCAAGTATTACCTAAGGAGTTAATGTGGCACCAGACCTTCACATACCCAAAGATACAAGATTAGGCTAAGATTGCCAGAATTGTCATAGTTGGGGTGGGATGGTGTTAGGAAACTCATACAGCAGACCTGGGACTGTGTGCAAGCTCAGCTGGCTTTGGGCATTTAGATTTGGAGTTATGTGTCTAGTTTCCTGGTAAGAAGGGCCCAAAAAATAACTTAGGCTGAACATCTAGTTTCATTCCAGGCATGTGGAATCTTGGCATAGGCAAGGCAGTGGGTGTGCTCATCTCCCAGTACAAATCCCAGGCACTGAATCTTTAGTGAGGGTTCTTTAGTAGACAACAGTTGAATATATTACGCTTGGTTTTCTCAGACTTGGCCCCAAGTACTCTTTCTCTTTGTACCTTGTCATTGTTAGTTATCCTGTTTACAATTATGTGCTGAGACCTGCAAATTCTCCCAGCCAATCTCTAAACCAAAGGGTAGCCGCAGGGATTCTCCACTCCAATGGCAGACCTGTTGTCCAATCATGAGCCTGTGATTTGCTCTATAACAATACAGATATTCTACAAGCAAATTTGAATTTTTAGCATCTGGGAGAAGCAACACAAAGAGAAAGGAAGGCTATCAGCCACGAGAAATATTGCCTAAAGGGCTAGGATCATTTTTTAAAGAACCAGAACTGTTTAAAATGGTGCTAATTCATTTGGCTGAGCTGCAGTTAGACATTAGAAATACATTTTGGGTTGTATACTGATAATCTACACATTGAGAGTCGCTATAAGTATATATAGGACAAACACTCATGGAATTAAAGTATTACATTTGATAATGACAAAGCAAAAACAGAAACTTTTTTTGTTCAACCTTTATTTAAAATCTACTTAAAAACCACTACTTTCCCAACAAACTCAGTTAATGTTGCCCTTCACTAAAAATTTATGTTTTATTAAGACAGACAATAAGCAAAAAAAGGGGCTGGGAAGGTGGCTCAGTGGTAGAGCACTTGCCTTGCATGCATGAGGCCCTGGGTTCGATTCCTCAGCACCACATAAGCAAAAAGAAAAAAGCCGGAAGTGGCACGGTGGCTCAAGTGGTAGAGCGCTAGCCTTGAGCTGAAGTGCTGAGGGACAGTGCCCAGGCCCAGAGTTCAGGACCCACGACTGGACACCCCCCCCCAAAAAAAAGCAAAAAAAGGCAACTGCATATGGTAATGAACGTCAAGAAGAGATCAAATGGGTGATAAAAAGGAGGGTAATTTGGGAAGGAACTTCAGATAGTTCTAGAGAACATCAAGTGCTGACTGCGAGGTAGTGTTAGCGTAACAACCAACTGTTGAAAAAAATGAGTGAAACAAATCAAGTTCTACAGTAGACTGGGGGCCTCTGCTGTAATTAAAAAGCAACATCAGAGAAACAATTCTAGGAGTTATGTTGTATGTGTGTGTGTGTCCTGGGGCTTGAATTCAAGGCATAGATGCTGTACCTGAGCTTTTTTGCTCAAGCCATTCTTGAGCCACATCTTCACTTTCATCTCTTTAGTGGCTGATTGGAGGAAAGAGTCTCCTAAAACCTTCCTGTCTGGGCTGGATATGAACCATGATTCTCAGATCTCAGACTCCTGAGTAGCTAGGATTACAGGCATTGAGCCACCAGCACCTGGCAAGTTATATTTTAGGTCACTATCACTTGATAAAGATGGACTAAGTAGTCAAAGATGTAAAAATTGGGTGTGGCTCAAGTGGTAGAGTACCTGACTAGTAAGCATGACACTGAGTTGAAAACCCATTAGTGCAAAAAAAATAAAAATGATGAAAATTACATTTGTTTTCAAAGTCCCTTTTGATTCCTACACCACAAACTGTACTTCTTTCCTCTACTACAGGCCCCTTGTAATCATTTGGTCTGGCCAGGCCATGGCAATCACAGGTACGACTCAAAATTTGTAAGACTTAGAGAATTTTTCATAGCAACCAACAAAATTTTAAGTGAATCATAATATAAAATTTGAGGGACAAACAAGGAAATCCGTTAGGGCTTGAAGAACACACATATGAGAACAGACACATATGCTTTTATTGCTTTTATTAGCTGCCTGTAGCCCATCTGCCTATACTGACTCCGAAGACAGTAAGTGCCAGGCAGGCTGGGAGTCTACATGTTGGGAAAGTATAAACACATTGTGGCCAAACTACAACTGTCTGGTGATGAGATGAAGGTGTGTCGGACTCCTCACACGATGACTTTGCTTCCGATGACTGACCACAATGCTGTCAACTCCTCTGTTGGGACGGAGAACTCCAATTCAACCTCTATCCACAGGTCATGATCAATAATCCTTGAAAAATGAATCCCAGATGAAGAGCAAGGAAATTATAGCACACTGAGAAGATTTCAGGGGGGGCTGGGAAGGTGGCTTAATGGTAGAGCGCTTGCCTTGCATGCATGAGGCCCTGGGTTCGATTCCTCAGCACCACATAAGCAAAAAGAAAAAAGCAAGAAGTGGTGCTGTGGCTCAAGTGGTAGAGCGCTAACCTTGAGCTGAAGAGCTGAGGGACAGCGCCCAGGCACAGAGTTCAGGCCCCACAACCGGACCCCCCCAAAAAAGAAAAAATTTCAGGCTGGGAAGGTAGCTTAGTAGTAAACTGCTTGCCTAGCATGCGTGAAGCCCTGGGTTCGATTCCTCAGTAGCACATACACAGAAAACGCTGGAAGTGGCACTGTGGCTCAAGTGATAGAGTTCTATCCTTAAGCAAAAGAGGCTCAGGGATAGTGGACAGGCCCTGAGTTCAAGCCTCAGGCCTGGCAAAAAAATTCAGAAGTCGATGATAAACATTGGATATGTTCTAAATCCAAGAAACAAGATTTGAAACATAATCAAAGCAAAATAAATGTGATGCTGGTGACACACACTGGATAGTTGCTCAGACTTAAGTGGTATGACATCCTACAAATGACTACAAAGGAAAGTTGATTCAGAGTATTCATCTTTCCAAGAAAAATGGACAAATGGTCTTTTCTCTGAGGAAGTTAAAGGCAAACCTGTGTGACTCACTTGTGGTAGTGTTTGCAGCAGTAAAAAAAAGCCCAACTCAAGTATTGTAGTTCAAAACAGCCCAAACTCAATGCACTGGGAGGTCAAGTGCATTTGGATAAAATCAGTGTTCTATGAATTTTGGAATTATGGGATGAGTTCTCTAGGCTTGTGAAAAAACAGTATTACTCAGATGAATCATGTAGTAAGTGGGCCAATCACAAAGAAGCTGGGCCTTGAGTAGAGTGAGAGTTTGAAAGGGTACCTGCTGCAGAATTGTTAGCACCAAAGTAAAATGGTTTCAGTTAGAGAACCATCTCAGATCAGATTACTGACCTACCACATGATACTGAAACACTGCAAGATGATGCAGATCTCCAATTTTTCTGACTTGTGATGAGATAGCAGATACCACAAATACCATCCAACTGGCCATTTTCATCCATGGGATAACTGCAGAGTTTGAGATGCTGTAAACCATGCATGGCACTACAAGGTGAGGCCTTGGAGAGACTTGTTTTATCAATAAAAAAAAAACTTGAGCTGTCATTTGAAAAATTAAGTGGTGTTACTACAGATGGAACTGCAGTAATTGCTGGCTGGGCACTAGGGGCTCATACTTGTAATCCTAGCTACTCAGGAAGCTGAGAGCTGAGGATTGTTTGAAGCCAGTATGCATATACAAATCCGAGAGATTATCTCCAATTTACCAGTAAAAAGCTGGAAGTGGAGGTATGAATCAGTGGTAGAGTGCCAGCTAACAACAAAAAAGGTAAATGAATGTGAGGGCTTCTTTTCCAGCATTGCCAACAAAAAGGGGTTTATTCATCTGTGAGGAGACAACTGAATTGTCTGTCTTGATACAAGTGATTTAATGATATGCCACCACTGCACCGTACTCCAAGAAGGTCCTGTGCATAGTCACTGTTGCTCAACAATGTGATATCAATGACGGTATCATATACAAGCATTGTCAAGAATAGAGTTTAACAGCTGCCAGACTGCCAGTTTAAGGAGTTACTGATCTGGGCTCTAAGTATGGTGATCTTGTTCATCATTCTGAAATGTTATGGCTGAGAGGCAAGAACATGTTCATGAGGTTTCCCAAACTCCAGGATGAAATCAAGCAGTTTATGAGGATGAAGGGAAAACCTGTCAAATAACAATTGGCTGTGTGGTCTAGTGTTTACAGTGGACAATACCGTAATGTCAAGTAGCAGGGTCCCAACCAGCTTCTCAGCTCCCTGCTTTCAAACATGAAATCACCTGAAGCTACATTAAGGCTTGGAAAGTGCAACTGGAAAGGAATAACACAGAACATTCCCCCACATTTGAATATGACAGTGAATGTGTGAAACTAATGTGACCTTTAAAAGTTATGTTATCAAACATAAGCTCCACCATAAGTTGTGGAACTAGTTGATGTCACTTAGCTGCCAACTGATGATGAGCTGAATGCCAGGTGCAACAACCCTCACCATGCTGCTTGAGTTCTTATGTTATAAAGCAATGATGCATTTCCTACTTTGAAGAAGTAGGAATATACACCCATGTTGGGAACAATTTTACTATCCCAAAGTTTCCAAAACCTATCATTGCAAAGATTTGACTGACCAACACAAACCTGGAAAAGCAGTGTGAGGGTCAAAATCACCAACACTAACTAACATTATACACCTCACCAAAGAGTCTGTTCTAGCCATCACATGAGAGGTTAAATGTTTTACCAAATATAGAAGACTAATTTTAAGTGAATAATTTGAGATAACCTACAAATGATGTTATAAACATCCAAACAGCCCCTGGTAGAATAAAAAAGTTCCCTAATCCTGTTTCAGAAGTTCAGATTCTTACTTAAGAGCCTCTTTTCCTGAGCTCTTGGACATTTAATCCTTTTTGTCCACTCGAGTTCATTTATACATCCTACAAACATTTTCTGAACACCTACTTATCAGGCACTGGGTTAGAAAACAAGTATAAATTTTTTTTACTCTTAAAATTAGTGGGAGCCATAGCTCTGGACTAGCTTCCTATACTCTACGCACAGCAGACGAGACCAAACTCAAACACAGACATTCATGCTAAGTGCTACATAATCACACCGAAACTTTAAGGGACCAAGTAAATCTCTACATCAGACCATCTCTTCCTGACAACAGGAGGCTCAGTGAGTAATCAAGAAGAGCCCAGTCTACATCTACATGTAACCCTTACCAGAAATAGCCTGATGTTAGTCAACCCGTTTTGTTTTCATTATTCTTTTCCCTGTTCCTACCTTACAACTATTAATTCTATCTTGTAGAATGAGGGGTTTTACCTGAGTTTGGAATCACAAATAAACACCAATTAGAAGCCAGGGGCCTATGGCTCATAACTGTAATCCTAGCTACTCAGGAGGCTGAGATCTGAGATTGCAGTTCAAATATCACCCCAAGAAGGGAAGTGGAAGTCTGTGAGACTCTATCTCCAAATAACCACCAAAAAAGCTGGAAATGGAGCTGTGGCTCTAGTGTTAGAATACTAGTCTTGAGCAAAAAATCTCAGGGACAGCATCCAGGCCCTGAATTCAAGCCTCAGGACCAGAACGAAGAAAAAAAAGCCAACTATACTTTAAATGTAAATTTATATAGCTGTGTAACTTATTGCCACAATCTAATATTAGAAAAGCATTTTCGTCACCTCAAGATTCTCACTCCCAGCTGCAATCAATTCCTATTACCATCCCTAGTCACAGGTAACCACAGATCTGCTATATATCTCGATACATTTGTCTTTCCTGGACATTTCATATGAATGAAATAATATAGTATGTAGTCTTTTGCATCTGGCTTTTTATATGTAGGAAACTTTAATCAGTATATTCATGCATACAACAAATTATAGTACTAAACACATTATAATTTTGTCTTTTGACTCCCCCAGGTGCTTGCAGTAGGTTGTGACATATTTCTATTCAATCTCATTTTGTGCCAGACACCCTTCCTCTATTATTTGCCTTTGCAAACTATCTGTAAAATAAGTATTTAATTTTCATTTGACAAATAAAGAAGAGGTCCAAAATGATCTATTTTCTTTCAATAAATGTAGAAAATTATACTATAATAAATTGAAAGCGAAGACTAAATACAAAGTACCACAGGAACACTTTTAGAAGAAGCCTAGATGGCTGGAAGCTCTGAGTAATTTTTGCAGGAGATAATTCTGGGCTGTTTTAAAGGATGAATATAAAGGTTTAGAGACAAAGGTTGAGATGAAAAATGTACCATCCCACGAAAAGAGAATAAATTGGTCATAGACACAAAGGAATTGGAGAGCAAGGTCATTAAGAAAGCAAGTAAGAGTTGGTGCCAGTAACTCACACCTGTAATCCTAGCTACTCAGAAGACTGAGATCTGAGTTCAAAGCCATCTGCAGGAAAATCTGTGAGACGCTTATCTCCACACACAAAACTGGAAGTAGAGCTGTGGCTCAAGTGGTAAGAGCACCAGGCAATGAATGAAAGCGTCAGATACTAAGTTCTAGTCCCAATCCTGGACTACCTCCACCCTCCAAAAAAGACTATGTGTAAAAAGAGGCTCAAGCCGGGCACTGGTGACTCAAGCCTATAATCCTAGCTACTCAGGAGGCTGAGATCTGAGGATCGAGGTTCAAAGCCAGCCCGGGCAGGAAAGACCGTGAGACTCCTATCTCCAATAAACCACTAGAAAACCGGAAGTGGCACTGTGGCCCAAGCGGTAGAGAGCTTGCCTTGAGCTGAAGAGTGCAGGGACAGCATCCAAGCCCAGAGTTCAAGCCCCACAACTGACCAAAAAAAAAAGAGGCTCAAGGTGAGGCTCATCAGTACTGCACCTGGCTTAACAAACGAGCCTTTGACATCAGAAGCCTAGTATTAAAAAAAAAGTAAAACTGTACTTCACATATTTTCTAGTCTTGTCCACTGAATACATCAAGTATCTCTTGTTATTAGAAATGAGTCTCTAACGACTTTCCTACAAAAAGAAGCAGAAGTCATTGGAGAAGTAGCTAATTTCAAGTCTGAGGCAGGACAAAATGAAGATGAACCAGGACATCGAGAAACCAAGAAGTTTTCCAACAAGAGAAAGCCAAGGGGAGTGCCCAATGACAGGTTGTAACTTTAGCTGAGCATCAAAAATAATGATTTTGGTGGATCAAGATGCACTGCATCAATAAAAATCCATGGGTCCATAGAAATACAAAAGTCAGCTATTAAAAATATCTTTTCTTTGAAAATATTAATGCTTACTTAAGGAGGGATTATTCACTGTCAATCAGGCAGCTGACATGGTTATATCAACCTGCAATCCGAACTACTTGGGAGGCAGAGACAGGAGGATTGTGGCTTCAGGCCAGCCTCAGACCCTATCTCGAAAAAAGCCAGGCATGGTGGTTCATGCTTATAAATTCAGCTACTCAGGGGACAGAGGTAAGAGGACCTCACTCTAAACCAAGGCAAAAGCATGAGACCTTATCTAAAGAACAAACTAAAAATAGTAAGGATTAGAGACACAGCTTGGGTAGAGTGTACAAAGCACACAAGATCCTGGGTTCAATCTCCAATACTGTCAAAAAAACAAAAACAAACTACCTGGAAACTGATTAATAGAGAAATTTGTATAATGCCAAAGTAATAAGGGGCTTTATAGTTATAAGTTTATATATGTAGGGGATTAACAGATGAAGAAATTGCTATCATCACCCTAAATTAGGGGTCACTCTTACCAACAGGAAAAATAAAATCAGACCAGGCACTGGCGGGTCATTTCTGTAGTCCTAGCTACTTAGGAGGCTAGTATATGAGCCTTGTGGTTTGGAGCAATCTTGGGGAGGAAAAGTCCTCAAGACTCATATTTCCAATTAACCAGTAAAAAGCCAGAAGTGGGGCTGGGGCACAAGTGGTAGAGTGCAAGCCTTGTGCAAAAAAGGAAAGCACCCTTGCCATGAGTTCAAGTGCTAAGTCTTCTCTTACAAACACAAAAGAATGGATGAAAGAAATTATATGATACGGTACAACATAAAGTTTATAGTAACACTTATGATAGAGTTTATCCTAATTTTTACTTCACCAACACTTTAGATATATTTTCCACTTTACAAAAATAAAGGGAGAGAAGAACAAACTAAATGACACCATAAGAAAGCAACTGGATAAATCTAAACTTCCTTTTTTTTTTTTTTTGTCAGCCATGGGGCTTGAACTCTGGGCCTGGGCGCTGTCCCTCAGCTCTTCAGCTCAAGGCGAGCACTCTACCACTTGAGCCACAGTGCCACTTCTGGAGGTAAGAGTCTCATGGACTTTGCTGCCTGGCTGGCTTTGAACCATGATCCTCAGATCTCAGCCTCCTGAGTAGCTAGGATTATAGGTGTTAGCCACAAGCTAAATCTAAACTTTCTAAGATAACTTTTCTAAGCTCTTCAATATGTCAAAAGCTTTGGGGTAGAGAAACTGAAGATGGAACAATCCGATGCAATATGTGG